TTAAAATGCAGAAATAAAATGCATTTTGGCTATTGGAACCACAATTTTTTTATTGGAAAAATCTGTATTGTTGTTAAAAGTGTTCGTTTTAACCTCCTCAGCCTGACTCATGAATATTAATTGAGTGATGTAATGTTAAAATTACAAGCAGAGTAACTAATTTGAGAAATGCCATTAAAAGATCTTGTGCTAATATTATTGCTTATTACCTGATCAGGTGGCTCTACTTGAGACCAATCCATACCTCCTGGGCCTGACCATCGTGGTTTCCATCGTCCACAGCATTTTTGAGTTCTTGGCCTTCAAGAATGGTAAATAAATACTGATGTATATACGTGTGGTAATTGATTGAGACTTTTGGGTTCTGGTGTCTCTCATTTCACTTTCTCTGCAGATATCCAGTTCTGGAACAGCCGCCAGTCTCTCGAGGGCCTGTCTGTGCGCTCCATCATATTCGGGGTGTTCCAGTCTCTGGTAGTGCTGCTCTATATCCTGGACAACGAGACCAACTTTGTCGTCCAGGTCAGCGTATTCATCGGCCTGCTCATCGATTTCTGGAAGATTACCAAAGTCATGGACGTCAGGGTGAGATGATGCCACTACCAGGCATTTTGGATTACTTCAGTTTAATGCCTAGGCTTGAATTCTTCGATCTCGATGTTGATTCTTGTTTTTCTTTTCCTAGCTGGACAGAGAGAACAGGATTGCTGGAATTGTGCCACGGCTGAGTTTTAAAGACAAGTCCACATATGTGCAGTCTTCAACCAAAATCTATGATGATGTAAGAGACTTTTTAGCTGCATGTTAGAGATCATTCATCAAATCCACATCATTTATACAAGTTACAAGTTTTATTATTAATATTTGTTGTTGTTTTCCCTCCCCAGATGGCCTTTAAGTACCTGTCCTGGCTGTTGTACCCTCTCTTTGGATGCTATGCAGTTTATAGCTTATTATATGTGGAACACAAAGGCTGGTACTCATGGGTGCTGAGTATGCTTTATGGGTTCTTGTTAACCTTCGGTAAGTGTGGCTTTACTTCATGTTTGTAATGGCTTCATTTGATTGCATTTCTAATAATTGCAAGAATGCTCAGTCTGTGCCAACATCAAATCAGAAATGGTGATTAGATGCTTGAGGAATAAGCTTACAAAGGGGAATTTCACTTTTTAATCTTCAAGGCCCAAAGGATTTTCTACAGTTCTGTAAATAGAAAAAGAGAGCACTGTCTGCAAGGACACAGTCACGTGTGGAATCCAGTAGTTAGCCTGGAGGCAGTTAATGTATGTTGACACATTGATATTTAATGATTTAAAAATAAAAGTAATGGGGAAACCTTTTCTTTTAACACTCAGATGCAGGTTTTTGATATGTTAGTTGCTTTGAACTTTACGTTTATGCATTTTGCAGATGCTTTTATCCAAAGCGACTTTCATTGCACTCAAGATTTACATTTTCATGCATATCCTAGGAGTCAAACCTATGACCCTAGCTTCACTAATCTGTGTCGCTAATAGTGTTGCTTGTAATTCTGTTTGGTGATGCTAGTAAAACAGAAATGACACATTTCAGCATTAAGAAGTTCCAAAACTGGTAATTTAAAAATATTTTGTGAAAGTACTTCCTGTTAACTAATTAACTAACGCTTTAATTAGTGTGCCTGACAGCATGTTTTGCTTGAGATTTTAGAATGTTTGGGTGGTATAAACATTTTTGGGAAAATGTGTGCATTTTAAATTTAAGGACAGCTGTTAAAGCTATACACATTCAGATTGACCTTTGCTCTGTTTTGTGCTTTTGTTCATTTTATTTGATGTTTTTAGCTTCTCACCTTGAGCATAAGATTTTTGAATCCTGAATCCTTAAAGGAGAACTCCGGCGCAAAATGAACCTTTGGTCTAATTACACATTGTTACCTAGTCAACCGTTATCTGAGATTTGTTTTCATGATTATCGAATGTAAATAGTTTTATCTCTAAAAACAGTTTAGCCTATAACGCTAGTATATTGGGCATAGAGTAATGACAAATAAAAATCGCTTGTTAATACCACTAACAAGGCTCAAAATAGCCCCACACTAACACGGTAGCATAATGAGGGTCCCTACCTTCAAACCGAAGCATTGAGAACTTTGTCAGTGTCCAGACAGTTTATAAGATATTTTATACATGGTCAACTTCGCGTATACAGGCAGAAGCCATCTTTGAAAAACAGTCTCTACCAGTTGATCTACGAATGTTTCAGCATAAAAAGGCTCTGCAAAATTACAAAGCGCAAAGTCACTCCAAAGGGAGTTATTCTCTATATCAGTAAGCACGTCTTACACGTCACAATTTGAGTAATTTTCACATAAGGCATACGAAAAAAAAAGAGGGCGAGCCCTTGTTGAGTTACGTTATTAGTGTGTTGAAACTTATGGTAAGGGGCATAACATTTTGAAATAGGCTTGAAGTGGTTGACCAATCACCACACACTATTCCATTACGCTTTTCAGAAGAAGGGGTTTCATAGAAACAGAAACTAATAAGAGCATTACTGACAGACTGGGAAGAGAGGTTGAACTGTACATGCATCATGTTTTCTACAGGTTTCATCACCATGACACCACAGCTCTTCATCAACTACAAGATGAAGTCAGTAGCTCATCTTCCCTGGAGGATGCTCACCTACAAGGCCCTGAATACCTTTATAGATGACTTGTTTGCCTTTGTCATCAAGATGCCAATGATGTACAGAATAGGTTGTCTCAGAGATGGTGCGTGCTCACACGTTTCCCGTTGACATTTTGAATTTGATGATATGACTCAGTGTTATGTCGATTAGTATTTTCCACTATATAATTAGCTGTGCCTCCATTTCTCCACAGACGTTGTCTTCTTCATCTATCTGTACCAGCGCTGGATTTACAGAGTGGATCCCAACCGTGTCAACGAGTTTGGGACCAGCGGAGTTGACCCGAGCAAGGACAGCTCAGCCCAGCCAGGAGCTGCCGAAACAACCGCTGCCGAAACAACCGCTGCCATCACAGATAAATCAGAGGGGGAGAAGAAAAATGATTAACCCCTTTTAACCCCCTCTCTTGCCCTCTGGTCTTGCGAAGGTGTGATAATGCATCTGCGAGGCTGAATTTATGTTTAATTGTCAGGGAAGGGAACTGGAGTTATGGTATTACGTAAAAGACTGCAGGAAAAAAGTTCAGTTCAACGTTCCTCCTTTTGTGTGGGATCCACAGGAAAAGAAATATTTAATGTAGAGTTCCTGAAATCATTCTTTTTCAATCTCCCATATTTTTGCAGTCAAAGTGAAGTAAAATGTGATGTACTGTATTGTATATTTTTGGGTTGGTAACACTAATAATTTGAAGGGTTAGGTGGTCCATAATTAAATCCCATTGGCTGGAGTGAATAGGGTGAGTGCAGTACATATCATTTAGTTTTTTTGAAGTATAAGAGTTAGGAAAAGAGGCCAAATACAGCCTCACTGTTCTCCTGATTCTGTGTACTTATTTTCTGTTCATTCCATGTGTGAAGGGATACCAGGAAGCAGAGTTGTGTAGTGTAGGACGGAGGAGGCCAAAAAAAAAAAAAAAAAAGCCAATTCTGTTCAAACGCTACCCCGTGCAAGACAGAGACTTTCCACGTTTTTAAAACAAGAATTGATGTTGCAAACTTGAACAAAAAATAAAGAAATTACAGCCTTGTAGGTATTAATATATAAGTATATATTAATATTATTAATAACTGATCATGATTATTTTCTAAGCCTCTAAATTTTCTTTTCTATGTCCTAAAACTGTACAGCATCTCAGCTTGTAAAACGTAATCATGCTGACGTCAAACATCTAGCAATAGCTGAATTGCCAGTTTTCTAACTGAGAACTAGTTCCATTAAATTCACACTCCACGGTTGGACCACCATGTCACGTCCGGCTTGGCTCGATACAGCACAGTCCAAGAATTCGGAGACGCAATGCCTGTTTTTTTGTGTGCCGTAATTCTGATTTGATTAAGCTTTTATTTTGGTACGTTCCAAAATTTCATCACTCATGTTTATAGTAAAGCATAAGTGCAGTTTAAAGTGGACATTGTTTTATTCATGTCTCAAGACTTGTGTATTTGCATTTTGGCTTTTAACAGGTGTGACATTGGTCTCATAAAAACATTAAATACATCCAAGGAACATACACATTTTGCAAAGATTTTAAACTGAAACCACTCAATGAACCAGGAGAAAAATGTTTAACATTTGGTTGCACCATATGAAGTGTATACTTTCTCTTTGGGTTTGGCATGAATATCGTTTGCCTGAAAAAAATGTTTTGTGGTAACAGATAAAAGTATTACCTTTTAGTCATGTTACACTTCTGGAAGCCTCAAATGTATGGAATATAGCTTTTTGTTGTCACTTAAGATGAAGAAAAATCTCTATAACTGTTTTTGTAAAGCTTGGCATAATTCTGGATGATACCCTACAAATTGAGTCATCAACCTAAATTTATTTTAAATACGTGTTTTTACCTACTGTACATTATAAACAAAAAATTATCCCGGGAGCTAAACGAAAGCAAATATTTTTTGACCTATGATTATATTCATAAATGTAATCACATTGAATACGCACAATATTTGAATGTTGTGCTGACACCTAGCGCCTTAGATGCAGCATTACGCAAACGTTTATTCGCCCTCTACTAGTCATAATCATTTATTTGCGATCAAAGGTGTCCATAACAAAGCAATTCCCAAGATAAAGGGAGTAATATATTCAATTCGTGTGAGCCCACTAGAAGGCTCCGTGTAAAATCTGTCATATGTTTCAAGAATGTTAACTATGTGCGTAAAACGATAATAAATAACATGCGGAAACGTAACTTTTATTTACTAATAAATAAAATAAGATCTAGAAATATATTTTACTAATTCACAAACGTTCAGCTCTCAACTTCTCACATTCATGTATAAATATGAAGGAAATTTAACCTCAGAAATATTACAAAAGGCTCGATTTAAACAAGAAAACGTTTAATTAAAGCTCTTTATAAAAATAGTTTTGCTTCACAATAAAAATTGCAAACATTTACAATATTAAACTTACAAAACATCATTACAATAAAACAAATCTAAATATATTTTGTCGTGTAAATTCACAATAATATCAAAGAAAGTTCATTGACGAGCTGATCTGCGGTCGGTCGGATGTTGGGGTCGCTGTCCCAACACCGACTGATCAGCTTTTGACATGTCTTTCCAGAAGATGACTGAATAAAAACATCCCTAGTGATGGATGGACGCAGATTATACGCCACAACAGCGTACAGAATACACTGCCTGTCTCCCTCATACGGCGACTCTCGGGTGAGGAGCTGCCACATTGTGATGCCGAAAGAATAAATGTCCACGCGCGTAGTGACTTCCTCACCTTTCAGCAGCTCGGGCGCGCGGTGAGTGAACGTGCCACCGATTTCACTCAGATGCGTCACCACGGTGTCGCTTTTGCTCGATAGTTTAAAAGAACACCCAAAATCTGCGAGCTTACAGACACCCTGTTGTGATACTAAAACATTGGCAGGTTTTAAATCCAAGTGGACTGTGACATGCGCGTGCAAGTGCTGGAGCGCGCGGGCGATGTCTATTGAATATTTCACGCACTTGTCCATAGGCAACGGGGCTGCGAGTCCGTAAATGACCTGATGTAGGTTTAGGGCGCCTGCGAACTCCATTACAATCGTTCCGATGTTGTCTTTGGTGTTGAGGTGCGCAGGAGTACACGTGGTAGCCGCAATCACGCGCACAATGTTTTGATGGTGCAAGTGGGCAGCATTGAGTTCCGCCCAGAAACTCTGCCTCGAAGCCAGTTTGTTTTTCACACATCTCACTTTTTTCACAGCAACAGTCTCGCCAAAGTATGTGCCTTTGAACACCATTCCGAATCCACCGCTGCCGATGGGCTCCAGAGCCTGCAGTTCTCGCCAGTGGATCACAGAGGACCACAGTCTGTGGGCGATTTTACCGTGAAACGTGTTTACGGGAACACGCAGAGTAGATCCACTCGCAGTTTTGGTTAGCGGGCTACTGCACGCACCAAACTCGAGCCCGAAATCCTTTGGCAACAGTCGGGTGATGGGGATTGGTGACGGCATTGCATGGTGACCTCAAAGAGCAGTTGGCTAAATCTGGGGGTTTGCTTCGCGTGGGAGAGTTCACGTGATCATTTTATGCACGTCTGTCATATGACCATCACAGGCCGAGGGAAAATGTCAAGACTGAGAAGTTTCATATCATACAAATTATACCTCTTGACTCAAGAGATATAATTTGTATGATATGGGAAACTGTTTTCTCTGTGTAGGCGGTATTTTAACAGAGGCCTAGCGATAAATAAAACAATTATATAAAATAACTCAAAATCACACGCGTTATTTGCAGCTATTGGCTAACCCGTTTCTACCTTACCAGTGCTGTAATGTATTAACAGAGGCTGACGCAATGATGAAAACAACAGGCGCGATCATGTGCCTCATTACACCCTGTTATTGTGCCATATTTACTCTAGATCACGTGACTTTCAACCATAGACTGTAAAAAGTTTTCAACACACACACACACTCTCTCTCTCCACTACTTGAAAGAAAGGTGCTCTGTGTGTCCCCGATAATTTAAATATTTATATTAATATATACTACTGCTAATATTATTTGTATGTAAGTAATTTAATATATTAAATCGTGCGTTTTTGATTATTTAACATTTTTATTTTAAATAAGTGTTGCATATAATATAGGCTATAATATAAAGTAAATCAATTATTATTGTTGTTAGGCTACTTTACATATGGAAAACTATAGCGCACTTAGGTTATTTTAGGACGGTGTTCATTATTCATTTAAGACTGTATTTGGTAAATAACTGATGCGCTCTCTTGAGAGAAACTCACCTGTTGTTAGTCGTTGACATGGCAACGAATCTTGGGGGTTTCCCCAGTAGTGACGTAGGGGGATTTCCACCCACAGACTACTGAAGATTATCAAGTGAAAGAAGTACGAGGGCGAACGGTTTGTCATATCACAATCGTTAGTGGGTGAGCAAGAGATAAAGCGGTCTCTCTCATTCTCTCGAGATTTCTTTCCCAAAAGCTTCCGTTAACTTCAGGGCTTCCAAAACAAAAAAAAAAACAAAAAAAAAAAAACAGGCGAAGCACCCGGAAATGAGTGCGTAACGCGGGTCTGATGATCTTGACGCTGTTTCGGTGGATTTTCAAGCGCAGAGATTCAACACAATAACGACCTACGAGTGCGCATAGAAACCAAAGAGACTCTTTTATTGTGCTTGCAATGAGAAACATGAGCATTCGGAACGGCACAGCGGAAAATGGAGGTCAGTTCACTTTCTTACACTTCGGCCCTGTTGTCACTCTGATTCAGCATGTTTTTAGGAATATTTTCTCTACTTTGAGACAAAGCAAATAATACTGCAAATGATGCAATGGAATTGAACAAATGATAATAATCGTCATGTCACGTTATATTACGTTTTATGATACTAAAGTATAATCAAAAAGCGAGTTGTTTTTTAAGAGAAGTGGGTGTTTCCAAAGTTATAGGCCTGTATCGAAACAATAACAGGCCCGCGAATGTCTTGTTTTATTGTCTCGAACGGTTATAATGGTTTAGTATGTCTCTACTGTAGTCCGATCGAAATGCATGTTTATCATCTGATATGTTTTTTGACTTGTAAGCGGGTTTGTTTATCAGCTAATAATAAAGAAAAGCTGTTGTATGCAGACACGTTTTTTAAAATAACGTATCGTTTGTCCTTAACTGCTAGGTTTATGTTATATAAATAAATAAGTTGCTTTCAGTTTCGGTTTCTGGAAATGCGCATGTTTAACTGTTTGTTTGTCTTGTTTTTCTCTCCCGTCTCCCTGTGCAGCCTTAAATCTAGGTGAGTGCAAATGTGACGTCATTGTGGGGTGACCTTTTTTGTCCACTTTCTGTTCCTTTCCTTAAATATATTAAGTGTTTTGTTTGTTTGTTAAACTATATGTCATTATTTATTCACCTTTGTCTTTTCAACCCAAAGACTTTCCATGTAACAAAAAAGGAGATGTTATACAGTGCATACAGCATGACAGCCTCGGTTACCATCTTTTTCCATATAGTGAAAGTACATGAGATCATCTGCTTTTGTGTTCCATGGAAAAAAGTGAATGACAGAATTGTACTTTTTAAGTGGTCTCTTTATCTACACCTTGTGTTTATATTTATGTCAAAACTCTCTCTGAACAGACATTATAAGTGAGTACCTTTTGGAGAAAACGACCAAAGAGCCGAGTCAGCCGAGGCTCCCTGGTCCTCCTCCTCCTCCTGCGGACCAAGACATCCAGCCAGTTGATCCACCATGTAGAAGCAGGAGAAGCGCTCCACAGTTGGTCCCCAGAGGATTAGCTCCACACGTGAGTCTTTCTGCTGTTACACTAAGATCAACAGGAAGAGTGGTTGTCTATAGCAGGCATTACTATTATTTATTTTTATACCTTTTTGAAATCCTTAAAGGGAGTTTTCACCCCATAATTAAAATTCTGTTATCTTTTACTCACCCTCATGTTAACTTCTATGACTTTATTTCTTCTGCAAAACACAGAAGAAGAATGTTGTTAACCGAATAGTTTTGGTGACACCTGACTTTAATTGTATGGAAAAAAAACACAGAGACATTTCTCAAAATACCTTCTTTTATGTTAATCAGTTTGATTTGGAACAACATAATGATGATTTTAATTTCTGGGTGAGCTTCCCCTTTAACCCTATCAATTAAATTTGGTGCATAACTCATCCCACCTTGTTTGTTCTATGGACGTGAATGATGCCACAAATATGTGGCTTATTTTAGTGTATTCACTTGCCATACAAACTGTCTTCCGTTTATTGGTAGATATCGAACCCTGTTCATGACATCAAGCTTTTTTTGCCCACTGAAGGATGATTGTAATTCGATGCCTGCTTTCAGTTAGAGTTCTCTCCGCTCATGCTTTTCTCCCCCATACAAAAGGCAGACAGGCTCATACACTCCTCTCTGCTTCTTACTTTCTCATTGGCTGGTTTTTCATCCAGCTATACGAGCTTCCTGTTTCTTCACCATGCTCTTTCTGGCTCTTCTCAGCGGTTCTTTGTGTAAGCGATCTGAGTCCATTCTCAGGCATGTCCAGACTTGGTGTTTGTCTGTTGTTTCCTCAAAAATTCAACATTCTGAAACTTGTTACTATATTTATTTTTTATAATCATGCTCTTTATGTTCATTATCTTTGAATGTTCTGCATGTGTCAAACAAACTGTTAATCACTCTCTTTTTTCCCTCCCCCTCTCTTTTGCACACTCACTTTCTCTTTCTCTCTCACTGTTGTTTGACATCAGTTTGATTTTCAATTGTCGATAGTGCATAGTGATTTGGATGTGAATTGTTTGTCTTTCCATTAATGATTTCAGATATTGGAAAGTCCGAAAAGGAACATGTGATTTCAATGTGGTAGTAAAACAGGCTGGTTTTCGATGTGGTTTTCTGAACCCTTTGTGTTGCTGTTTCATTGTGAAGGTGTTTGAAATATAAATTATTCAGCGATTGGCAGGCCATTTATTTGATCTAAATAAGTTAACCCTTTTGGCATTGCTTCATTTATCTGTTTGTTTAAATATTTTGTCTCTTGCTCTATTCATTTGTTTGTTAATTTATTTGATATCGGGAAATCCAGCTGTAAATTACAGTGCACACCATAGACAATATATTATAATAACGATAAAGTTTTAATAATCTTTCAAATTCTTTAAGAACAGGAAAGTCCACAACATAACTTACGATAATGACACAGAGAAACAGTCAAATTGGAATCACTTTGATCGATTTTTTTCTCTTTTTTATCAGCTGATGAACGATAAAAACATTAAAGTCGCCATCCGTGTAGTCAATAATCGTACTCCGTAAACACTCTTCTTTGATCACCAAAATGGCATATTTAAACGTTCCTTTTCCTGTAAAAAAAAATGTATCCCTTAAAAAAAATAGCTTGAATGTAACTCTACACCCTTGCTTAATTTAGTATACACGGAGCCATGAATATGCAATTGAGCCCTGCCTACACTCACTCATACAGGCTTGTCTACAAGTCGATGTATCAGAATGGTAATGCGTTTTATGTATCGCTCTCTACAACGTCAGAGACATAATGGTAATTATTATGATTAGCCTTTGGCTTGACTACGTTATCAAACAGCTAATAATGTGTTGCTAATGTTCCACAAACCATGTTCCTGTTCGCCATCTCAAAGTCAGACAGCTGCCTTCTAAAAATCAATATCCTTAGAAACGCTTTCAACATCATAGAACGTCAGTGGAGAAAGGGATATAATTCATCATAACAATGTAATCTACATCATAGGCTATACATAAATCACATGCTATATGGTAAATGGACTGCATTTATATAGCGCTTTCACAGACCCAATGGCCACCAAAGCGCTTTACATATTGCCTCACATTCATCCATTCATACACTTAGGTGTCTTGCTCATGGACACCTCGACACTTGGTCAGGTGGAACCACCAACCTTCCGGTTTGTAGACAACCTACATGAACCACTGAGCCACTGCCGCCCCACAGACTATATTGCTAAGTCTAACCTGGCAGTTAATGATATGCTAAAGCCCGCCCTCACGTTGGCGTGATTGGTTACAATGTAGTTTGTGATGTAAAAAACACAGGCGATGTTATTTGGACTTATGAATTTGCACATGGTTTGTCTTAAAGCATATTAAAAATACCACATAGACATATAAACAATATTTAAAACTTGATTTTCACCACAGGGGGTCTTTAAAAGCCAATCATAATCCACCCGACTTTAAAGAGAAATTGAAGCGACAGACAACAAACTCCATTGCATGCTTACAATAATTAATGTAATCATGCGTTGGTGTGGACACTAATAATATTATCATTATAGTTATCTTTATAGTTATTGTTCTTGGTGTGAACACTCCTTTAATCTGTTAAAAGTGGTTTAGAACACATTTAGCAACCACATAGCAACACCCTTGTAAGCCACTCAGAACACATTAACAACGGCATAGTAACACCCTGGCAACCACCTGTAGAATCCTAATAACCCATAGTGATGTGATTAAAAACTACACAGAACACTTTAGCAATATAGTAACACTTTAGCAATAGGGCATAAAACTGGCAACCTTTCAGGACATTTTAGTAACTGTAGCAACTGAATGAATAGCAATGTTCCAGCAACCACCTAGAACAACTTTTGTAAGGGGAAGCGCAATTAATTTTCTCCAAATGCAAAAATTTAGTTTGCATCTCTCTTTCCACAGAATCCGTTCAGCTTTGACCAGGCCCCAACCGTGAAAACTGCTGGTATGGCATCAATGCATCCCTTGCGAGGCCACAAAGGGTCTTCTCAGCGACGGGGACAGGCATCTGTAGCACCCCAGTGTCTTCATCCTCAGCAGTCTGGGACAGAACATCTGGAGCGCTTCCTGGAAAAGCCTGAGATGGTGGTGGTGGAGCAGCCAAAGGAGCGTGGCATGCGATTTCGCTATGAGTGCGAAGGACGATCAGCGGGTAGCATCCTTGGAGCCTCCAGCACTGACGCCAGCAAAACTCTGCCTGCTATTGAAGTAAGTCTGAAGAAGAACATTTGGCAAGGGTGCTAATGAGCTGACAGTTGTATTTTTAGGAGTTACATACATTTTTATCATCATGTTATCATCAGTTAGACCTTGTGAACCTCTCATTTAATTTCAATTATGCATTCAAGTTTTTCCATTTACATGAATAGATTTGAGCACCTTATTTAATTTAGTGGGTGTGTCTGGAATGCACCAACTATCCCAAGACAGTGGGGCTTCCCCCATTATGGTTTGTGGTGTTGTATGTGAAATTAAGTTAATAGTGTCTTTGCAGCTAAAAATGAAAGTTCCCTGGAGAGTTGTGCGATGTGTGGGCTTTGACGGAGGGATTTACCTTCAAACCACACACATAAACATGTTCACCAGTCATTTTTTTCCATTGGCAAATGTCCATACATGGGTACTTTCAACAAAAGAGCCTGTGCCAAAAATGCAACCACAAAGAAGCCACGCAAAAGCAAAAGTAAAACTGTATTTCATCTTTTTACCTTTAGATTAAAGGCCCCATTGACAATATCAAGAAAGTGATGGTCACCGTGTCTCTTGTGACAAAGGACATCCCGTACCGGCCACACCCACACTGCTTGGTTGGGAAAGACTGTTCAGATGGCATCTGTGTCATCCACATCAATCCCCACAGCGCTCGTCGACACAGGTACATTTCTGTTATCCTCAATGGAACAGCATGCGTAGCAGAACGTGATCTGAGTGTAAAAAAGTTATTTCCAACCTGAGTATGTTGGTGTTTTCCAGCTTCGCAAATCTGGGCATCCAGTGTGTGCGGAGGAAGGAACTTGATGCCTCACTGCAGAAGAGGAGGAATAAGAATATTGATCCTTTTAACAGTGAGTTGTTAAATGAAATTGCAGACTCAATGGCTCTGTTTCCCCAACCTAGTAAGCAATGGAATGTAATACATACATAAATAGCAACTCTCTATGCTACATGAAGTGCATAAGAACACTCAGCCACCATGTTACTAAGCTTACAGCACAACTCGTAGTATAAAATACATATTCAGTACAATTCAAGTTTATTTGTATAGTGCTTTTCAAAGCAGCTTTGCAGAAAATGCTCGTTTCATGTGTCCCACAAATATGAGGTAAAATAGTCATTTTTTTTATTTATCGAACTATTTTTTTGCTAATATTTTTTCTGTATTGAATACATTTATTTTTGAAATTGACATTTTTCTCACTTTGTCCAGATGTATATTTTATAATGAGGTCAATGCCATATTCTCATTAGGTTTTGAAACAGGTCCTAATAACACTCTTCCGCTTTAGCCGAGTATGAACAACTGTTGAGTGTTTTTGTCTCGTTCTCCCCCAGCGGGCCACTCTAAGAGCATTGAAGACATGGACATGAACGTTGTGAGACTGTGTTTCCAGTGTGAGCTGGAACGAAAGGACGGAGACAGAATCCCCCTCGCCCCTGTGGTTTCCAACCCAATCTACGACAAGAGTAAGAGCAAGATATATGTTAGGCCAAAAACATACTCTACCATAGTACTTAAATTCTCGGTAGTTTCCTGGCAGATGATGTTTGGGGTTGTTTGTATTTGTCTGATTAGAGGCGACCACAACAGCAGAGCTGAAAATCAATCGGCTTAATGTGGTCAGAGGCCCCTGCACAGGAAAGACTGAAATCTACATGCTCTGTGACAAAGTGCAGAAAGGTACCTGAACATGATACGCCACATTTAATTGCTCAAGTTCCTATTACATCTCACTTGATGCTATCTTTACAAAACAGTTGGACTAATTTGTATATCTGGAATCCTCTATAGATGACATAGAGATAATCTTCAGCACGGAGGACTGGGAGGGCAAGGCGGAGTTTGCTCAGACGGATGTCCACAGACAAATCGCCATTGTCTTCAAGTCCCCACCATTCAGGGAGCAGAATATATCTGAGGAGGTGGAGGTCAGCGTGTGTCTACGCCGCATATCTGACCGCATGGACAGCGAGCCAGTCAAGTTCACGTATGTTCCAGACAACGCAGGTGAGTTATCAGACATGGCTGAACGTTGTAAGGAAAGCCACCTCAAAATCAAAAGATGAAAATATTATTATTAATTTCTAAATTAATTAATTAAATATGATCCTGTTAAAGACGCTCCAGCATCCCCAGGACTCAACTGAGGATAAGCGGTTTGGAGAATGGAATACTATTTAAATTAAATCTTTACACATTTTTTTTTCTTCTTTTTATTAAGATAAACAAATGTAAAAAGTATAACAAATTCTACCACAATATGTAACACTACTGTTCAAAAGTCTGGGGTTGGTAAGATGTTAAGTGTTTTCGAAGAAAGTCTAAAAACAGTAAAAATGCATATTGTCAAATATTATTACAATTTAAAATAATTGTTTTCTATGTAAATATATTTAAAAGTCATCATGAAATCAAAATGTACCCTATTTATTGTATTAGTGCACATTACTAGTCTTGTGGTGAACAATTAATCCGTCCAAGTTAATTCACAGGGGAAAAAAAGTAATTTATTCCTGTGATGCTTCAGTGTCACATGATCTCCAGGTATCAGTCTAATGTGCTGATTTGGTGCTCAAGAAGCATTTCTTATTATTATCATTGTTGAAAAAAAACATTTTTTCTCAGGATTCTTTTGATTTTCTTAAGGTGCTGTAACGATCCTAAAAATGTTTCTTATGTGGGGCTTTTTGGTTGCTTGTGTTTTAAAGTAGTAGAATACAAAAGCAGACTAACAGAATGAATAACTGAAGCCAAAATGCCTCCGATTCAGAAATGAATCATCTCCTCTATTGCTAGTTTCTAAAATATTGCAAAAGAAGGTGTGTCACCGTGCCAGTTATTCAAGGGGATTTATAAATAGGCAGCATTATGGTAGTTTAAACTGAAAGTATGCTTGAGGAAACTGTAATGCTTCATAATAGGTCTTCTGTTGTCTACAGAACACAGATGATTCCTTTATAATCTGTGCCATTTTAGCCAGTGCCATCACATGCTCATGTCACCCTATAACACTGAAGGGAGGTTCATTTGATTTGCACTTTTGATCTGCAGATCCCTACGGAGTGAACCGCAAGAGAAAAATAAAATCGGATGTCAAGTTCAGCGAGCCATGCAGCAGTAAGGATTTTTTCTTTTTCTTTTTTTTAAATGAAAATCTTAATATCATTCTCTGTAACGTTGTTGACTACATCAGTTTTACCTTCCCTGCTCCCTCAGGTCAAGACCTCATTGTGAACGAACCTGCCATGTCACAGCATTTTGACCCATTCTACACTCATCCCGATTGTACCGTTCCCAATGCTTCCATGCCAATCACTGTTCAGGACCGAGGCATCCACATGTTATCCCAGGGCATGGAGGAAATCCACTATAACGAAGACTTTAAACAAGAGGACGGTTGTATTAGCATGGACCCAGAGGCTTTGGAAAGCTTCTTCCGAGGCTTGGCTCAGCCAGGTTCAGAGCATTTTTTAAATGAATTTCAGATCCTTGATTTAAACTTCGGTTTAGACGGCACAGATACGAACTCAAACGTCAACCAACCTATGATGAACATGGCGTCTATAAATGATGTGCAATTCAGTCAGATGGTGAATGAGAATCAGGCCTATCCAGCAGATTTGGAGAACATCGAAGGCCTCGTTTTCCCCCCTGTGAAGAGCGAGAATGACCTGGACCATTGAAAACCACTGTGGACTTTTGGATTTTGGATATACAGTCGCTGCTGACTAGAAAATCACTCCGGACCAGGAAAAGACTAAGTCAAACTTGTTATTGACTAAAAAACCTGTTCAGCTGGCACTATGACTTCCAGTTAGGTAATAAGTGCATACAAATGAAGTAAATCACCTGCTCGGCCACTGGTCTTGAAAATGGACAGTAAAACTGAGGCTGATGACAGCCAACGAAAGGCAGGAGAAGCAGGTAGCCATTGCATTTTCATTGTAAAAAGGGAGCTACATATGCTGCTCAACTGCTTCTATTGTGCCAGTTATGAAATGTGTCTGTCATTTGCTAATTTATTGTGTGGGTTTTAAGAGCAGAACAGATAAGTATCGAGTAAATGGTCCCAGACCCAAATTCACTGAAATATTTAAGTGTTATATAACATGATATTTGTTTTGAACATTTCTGAACAGTTCAACTGTTGAGGAATTTCAATTAACAGCATTAAGGAGACAAAATTAGACATGATTCTGAAGTAGCAGTTGGATTAATTCATGTAATTCATACCAATCTGACACCATGATTTTTCATTTAATTTCTTTCATGTAATCATCAACAATTAAAATCCCCCACCAAATCCTCTGCCCATTGCTGGCCGTTGGTAATTCCTGAACAAAAACATAGTTTGTTATCGTGATATCTGGTTAACCAGTACAGCACTATGCTAAGCTGTAAGGGTTCGTTCACACAAAACGTGTTTTTGCATTCCTCTCCGTTACTTTTCTATTGTTTTTCTCTGTAAACAAGCGCTAGAAGTCTGAACGTTGTGTTCATGGCTTGCATCTTGTGCATGGCGCAATGTTCTAACGTGCTGAAGAAGTTCAAAGCTGGTTAACTTATGGATGTTGTGTTTTTTTATCTCATGTTTTTAAATGCAAAAACACGTTCTGTGTGAATGTCTCCTTAACTTGCTAACCAAAATTTCAGTTTTCTAACTGAAAACACAAAGAAAGGGAAATGTTTCATTTGATTTTGTTTGCTTTGGTAGTATAATGTCATATGTCATTTGAAATACATTATTAACATATTTTCATGACATCTCTTATCAGGCACCAAATAGAGTAACCATTAAAAAATGGTTTCAGCCAATGGAATCACTTTGGCGTCCAAGGGGATTGGATTCTGTTGGGGACTAGTTTTTTGCATGACAGCGGACATGACATGATTAGTTTCCGAGTAGTCATGCAACTAGTTTAAACAAGATTAAACTTCAGCAATTTAATATCTGTTAACGTGAACACAACTCAAACAGTTTGTGAAGAGCAATATGATAATTTGTCAGTTATGGGAATTTCTGGTTAGCCCCGCCCACGGAGAAATTTTAATTGGTCTAAAATTTCTAATTAGTTGTATATTAAACATTAAATATGTTCTGATTGGCTGCATCTTAGCTTTAAGTGAGAATAGTAACTTTTCACTGGAAATTTGTCTCGTCTGGTTACGTCATGCTGTGAAGTTAAACAACTGAAATGAATGTAGTCAAAATGAGTCTGGCAAAAAGATTTTAGTGCTTTTTTCTGTGTTTTAACTACATTTAATTACTCATGACCGTTGAAGGAAGCTGGATTCATGATCTTAATCATTGGAAAGCATTTCGTCCATTTTTACACGCATATATAATGTCAGTAATACTGCTGTGATTCTCATTGTTTTGTGTAAAAATCCATTAGTTGCCTGCAAATATTGTCGCTTTCTGCTTCTCATATAGTATGCTTTTGCTGTTGATATTAAAATTGTGTTTTGGAAAATGAATATATTGACTCCATTTGACTGTCCCCATGAATAATTGCTAAAGTCACGGGATGAATCATAATTTCTTCCGGGGCCGGTTTCACAAAGCTATTTTATATAGTCTATAGTGTTAGACAAGTCTAAAATTTGCGCATAGACTAGTCTAATGCAAGTTAGACTGTTTCACAAAAATAAAGACTTACTTAATTTAGACCAAAAAAATTAGACGGCTTCCCCCAGGCTAACTTAGGTCTAAAGGTGATGATACACAGGGCAACTTTTTGAGCAATCTTGCCGGGCAATGTTGCCGTCAACGGGCAACCAGATAAGACACAGGGCCCACGACCGATCTAAATTATCCAGATAGAAATGTATTGCCCATTTTCAATGGGAAAGTGCCCAAGCAACAATCGCTCGGCAAGATTGCCCAGCAACATTGCTCAAAAAGTTGCCCTGTGTATCATCACCTTAAAGGTGATGATACACAGGGCAACTTTTTGGGCAATGTTGCAGGGCAATGTTGCCATCAACGGGCAACCAGATGAGACACAGGGCCCACGACCGATCTAAATTATCCAGATAGAAATTTATTGCCCATTTTCAATGGGAAAGTACCCAAGCAACAATCGCTCAGCAAGATTGCCCAGCAACATTGCTCAAAAAGTTGCCCTGTGTATCATCACCTTAAGACTCTGTTACCTTGGCAACCAGCAGTAACAATCAGTTACATTACAAACAGCTGAAAGAAAAGGGAAAATGGCCCTTTCCAAATTAAACATTTCTTCTTGTTACTACATTCTCCGCTAAATTTCCCAAGTAAAATGTCCTTGTGACTGTTATACTCCTCCAACAAACACACATCTTCCGCTGGGGTAAACTGCACTGAGCGGTTGAATGCGCTTACTCGATCCGCCATGTTTTTTTTGTTTTGAAAAGTGTCTTGTTTTACCCTGAATGCATTGCAGTGTAGTAGTCCTACTTAAGATAGTCAGAGTCTTAAGTGCTTTGTGCAACGGTCTGACTTAGATGTCTATCTGAAGTCTGACTATCTTCTATATCTAAGCCATAGTCAAAGTCTATCTTTGTGAAACCGGCCCCAGATCTTGACAGTGGGCAGAAGTCCTACCAAATCAACCTCACCACATTAACAGGGTGACTTCAAACCCTGCAAACTCTTGACTTCATGTGCGTTTCCAGATTCAAGCGACATGGGGAATCAGATAAAGTGTGCAGTTACTTCCTCATTCACTAATGCGATTGCTATGCTTTGTTGCACTTCTCTGATACTATATATAGGGTTCAAAAACAATAGCTGGCCCACACACATTCAGCATGTCACAATCTCTGACAAAATAGCCTCCTAAAGTGTTTCATTGAACTTTAGACATGAGGCTTAAATTGTTGGTTTGGTTATTAAAAGGTTATTTCATTCATAATGACCTAATATCGGAATGTCAGTGTTTTTAAACAAAGGATTTGTGTGTGTGAGTGTGAGAAGTGACTTCCCACACCCCAGTCCACATGACTCATGACCTTTAAAAGTTAGCAGCAGAGCTCTCTCTCCCTCTTTCTGTGTGTGTCTGGATAGGCTATATTGCAACTTCAGACTTGCAAGGTTTAACATTGACTAGCTCTAGGGAAATGATGCCTCACACACAGAAAGTCCAGTATTAGGCAATGGCTCCATACTGTAATAAATATTTGGCGCCAAAAGGTCCTGTATTGGGCAATGGTTACATCCCTACTGTAATTAAGTATAAGGCGGCAAAAGGAAGGTTGTTAACTTAGAAGACACAAAATTTGCATTTCTAAAATAACTAGTTGCACTATTTCTGTAATGTGAATTTATAAATGAGAATTTATTTTTTTGACATAAATGACAATGTAATGTAATACTATCACACTGCTTTTGTCACAAAAATGGGACATTACTTTTACACAACAGCTTTAAATCAAGAAATGAATCTGTAACTTACAAATTTAGACTTAATATAGCCACTTGTGTATATTTAGTTCTTTCACCGACAACTTTCCAGACGAAGTCAAAGTAAAACCGTTGAGTCTCGGAGCAACACAGAGCAATGGCGTTTCTTTCCTGTCTTTGAACGAATTGTTTGAGTGAGTGATTCAATGAGTCATTCATGAATGTAGTCACTTGTCGCCACCTACTGGCGTAAGTATGTAGCTTGCAGAAAGTGTCTGAAAAATTCTCCCCACTAATTCACAAACCTTTCCTGAACGGGCAAACACAGACAAGGAGAGTGATTCAAACTAATTCTGCGACCAGAACTAACTGTTGTTTAACATGCAAAAGCATGAAAGGAAACAGACCATGTGAAATGTTGACATCTTGACATTTAAATTGTATAATAATAAACATCCTCATTATGTTGCATCCCAGAATGATGTTATACATTTAAATAAATGAAACCTAAAAATATCCGTTAGAGAACGTTCTGTATAAATTCTAATTTTTCAAAAAACAACTCATGAGAATATTAGTCTATGGTTACAAAAAAAAGAAAGAACCTAAAGAGAACATTCCTGGAATGTTGGAAAACTACACTGAAAAAAAAAAGGCTGTTCCAGTGTCCAAACACGGCCAGAAAAAAGGCATTCCAGTCAGATTGGCAAATCAATTTATTACTAAGTATAAATGGCATATTTACAGAAGACAAGCGCATAGTTGTTAGAGATGTTAATAGAAAATAAATACATTATTGTTTATTCTTCAGACTGTATGACAGACATAGAGAATGGCAGAGAAGAGAACCCTCATCATTTTTTCTCCACTATCTGAGGCTCTGAGAGCTTCTTAATGGTGAGCTCCTCCACAAACTGCTTCACCAAACTCTTGTGAAGAGGCTCTGGATCCTAAGAAAGAAAAAACGGAGTAAGATTCATCAGATGACAGTGAGCGGACACGCAGTGCCCGTCCTTCACATTCCCGTTCATTTCATTACCTTCTTTTCCAGAAGTCTCTGTTTCTCAACTGCTTCCTCCAGACTCAAACCCACCCATTCAGCCTCTTCCTCTGCGATCTCAAACTGCTGCTTTTAAGAAATGCGAGTAAGGCAAATGGAAAAAAACACACAGGCTGATTATCAACACCATAGGCTGCAGATGTACATCTTGTAATCAACTTATCTAACCTTGTAGCGGTTGTAGATTTTCTCCCTGCGAGACGGGTCATCGGGAAACAGATCCGTGTCTTTCCGCGCCAGACGTAAAAGCATCGCACGCTTTAGATCCATTCCAAACTTGGAGTTCAAATCTTGCTTTGGGGTCTGATTTACACACAAGATTCAGACCAAATTATGCTTTAAACTTTTCTTAGATAAAACATTAAAAATGGATTTCTATCTTAACTTTTACAGTACATTGAACTGAATAACCCTTTACACAAGAATGGTTTTACAAACAATTTACATAATTTATTCTTATTGCATTTCATACAAAATGCTCACATTTAAAAAAAAAACAAAAAAACAAATTCTGTTTAGCAAATGACATATTTTATACAATAATGTAATATAATAATAAATATACAAAAATATTTTTAAATGTAATATATTACATAAAAGTATTATAATTTTGTAAAATAATAATACATACTAAATGCCACAGACTTTTAAGAACTTCATTTTTTTTATATAGTAATAAATATACAATAAATAAAACTTTTATACAATAAATATAATACAAACATTTATTATTAGTATTATATAAAATTATTGTAATTTCATAATAATGAATAAACATTACTATAAAAACATATTAGATAAATGTATTATAATTTAGTAAAACAATAAAACATACTAAATGCCATATGGACTTATTCAATAAATATTCAATAAATCAAACTATTTTAAACATTAAATATTACATTATTATTATATAATTTTATTATAATTTTTGTAAAATAATGAAGCGCACGAAATGCCACAGACTTGTGAGGATTCTCACCTTCAGAATGTAGAAGTCGAAGCCATAAGCGGCATCAATGAGGTCCAGTGTGCGAGATGTGACGGTTACAGTGAACTTTTGGTCGAGGATCTCACTGTACAGCTCTCTGTTAAACAACTGGGGCTTCCAGGTTTTGCGCAGTCTTGTAGAGAGCTGATGTGATCATTCATATCCACAAGTACATATCATATAAAAAATATGGGGTAAGTCATCTGTCTTCAAGTTACATTCTAATTTATGTACTATCTATTCACATCAACTTAAATTCATTATTCCAGTAGTTCTCTCTTTGGTCTTACCTTGTCACCTTTGGCATATCTAAAGCCAGATATCCAGCCTTCTCCACCCCAGAGTCCATCCTGTGATTCTGGCGGATAATAAACTGGGATAGGCACATCCTGGACTCGCTCTCTGTGTCCAGATTTAGGATTGACAATGTATTTGACACCCAGAGGTTTCCAGTGCACTGGAGTAGCAGGGGTGGTGTCCTGCACAGAGCGCATGTAGTGCTGGGGTAGACGGGAATAGATGCCCGTCTGCAGCTTCAAGGCTTCCCAGATTTTTGGTGGATACTTGTGTAGAGGCATTTTGTTGGACAAAACCTTAGAAAGAAGGGTTGAGTAGGTCCATGGATTATATACACACACAAAAAAAAAACATATACATACATTATTATATACACACTGCATATATTCGATTTTATGCATATGTTATATATATTAAGTAAAACTGTAAACTAGCTGACAAGCTACAGCTTATAAGATACAAATATTTGCTTTATTATACAAAAAGCTGAAATGCAAAAATACTAACTATAAGAAAAAAAGAATCTATACAGTTTATCACTCTTACCGGGGGAATGACGCAATCGGAGAATGTTTAATTTAATTTTACATGATCAGTATTAGCCTGCTAGCCTCTCAGTCCAGCACACGCTGTAAAGCTAACCAAGGGCACCATACGTCATTTCCCATGACAAATATTAGTGTGAGAATTGCGATTGGTTCAGTGGAGTGTTTACTGCGCTGATTGGATATTTTCACTGCTGAACTTCCGGGGTTTCGCAGAATATGTTCTCGTGGTGGTCCAAAACAAAATTGAAAGCATATTACACAGTATTATTAAGATGTAACTATCATATAATATCTATCTAATCGCCCGAAAGGTGGAATTGAACCACTCTGCCGCTAGGCAGCTACAGGTTTGAAGCCTGCACCCCGGACCACCGAGGTTCATCCGGGCATTTAAAAGGGTTGGTTTAACTTTAATATAACGGTTGCTGCTACGCTATGTGTTACATCTATGGTGAGTATAATGTATGAAACTGTATTTAATACCGTATCATTATTACGCTATGACATATTAATCATTCCCACAGTATGAAGTTTATGGAAATGTGAAATGTGCAGAAATCCTACATTAAACCCAGTGTTGGACCACATGCAAATTATTACTTCCCATTGGTTCAAACGTGGGGCGGAGTTTAGTCTTTGTTGCATATTTTATTGTTTTGTTAATAATTCTTCGCTGGGACTTGAAACCAAATCAGGCATGCTTGCTATTTCGTTGTATATTGCTTTTTTTCCTAGAAAGAATAAAAGTATTAACAAAAGTTTTACACAAAACGTTTTCTTGTGCAGTCTATGTAGTATCTTTTTCTAGTCAATTAATAGATATTTAGCTGGGAGAACCGTTTCAAAGTTTCATCTATCACTAATTTAATTCATTTAAATACTAATAAATATCAAATTCACAACCAACTAGATTTTTTTAAAAATATTTATTTTTTGTCATTTATTTGTCACAAAATATGTATTTGATCATGGTCAAGATTAGACTCCAAAAATGATTTAACCATGCATTATATTATAATAGCTCTGTTATTTCAAATTAAATATATAATATAAAACATATTACTAATGCAATTTTCAGTTATAATGACATACTCTCATTGGTAAAGAAACCCTTCATTTTATTGCACAGGGTTTATGGCATTGACCTTTATTATACTTGTTCTGTGTGTTGTGGAAATATGAGATCCCAAAAAAAAAAAAAAAAAAAAAATCAAATCAACTCACATCAGCCTCAATCAAATAATATTTTTTTATTTCGCCAGTAAATAAATTATGCAACATAAAAAAATCCAGGACATTAAAATGGTTCACTCGCACTTGAGAATAGCATCCGTTCCAGATCCTCACTGTACAATGGCACACATTCACTTCATAATTTTCAAATATTCTTGAAGCTTTTAAGGCTTCAGGCAAGAAATCTTGAAAACAGACAGTCATAGGCAGTGCATTTGCACCTTCTCGGAACCACACGTACATTTTTCTTGTTGCAACAGCAGTCTCTCACACTACAGGGAACTTGTGTGTTCAGTTTTCTACTGAACTGTTGACCAGAAAGTGTATGCGGGAATAATTGCAGAACTGTCCTAATGTGTCATACAAACTAATACTGTCCAGTTTGCTTGGAATAGTGATTAGAAACCATCACAAGTACACATCTTACTAAAGTAAAGTGATCTGACTGAGATGATGCTTTTATGAATAAACACAAACCTTTACACTTTGGTCAGTGTTTGGATAAATATAACTCGTTGTTTGTAATGAACAAAACTTTTAAGCTGTGACAATAATGGAAGACACTCTACAAAACAGGAGAGTGATAAATAAGACACAAACCACTCCTGTATGTGATATAGTAGAGACAAAAAGGACGATAAGTACACATTATCATATTAGAATGACAAAAATTCTGATGTGCCGCCCATGAAGTTGAAAAAAATCAATATTTATCACCCCATCTCACCATTTCAGTCCAATATAATCAAATTAATAGTGAGTGTTTATATGTGGACGCAACTTTTATTACAGAAAAATCCATCGACAGATTCCAAAATGTTTTGTTTCACGCTCACTTATTGCATTATATCACTGAATGATGTGCACAGACTCTTGTTACTGGAACATTCCATGTGCATCAGAGAAAACAATTGGCAAACAATAAAGTATAATTCATAATTTCATATAGCATTCCCTTGTAAGGTCATTCACAACATTTTTATTCAGTTTCATCATCTTCCACTACAATGAACTGACATTTCAGCTTTTGGGACTGCATTTTCATTTTATGTCATTAAAAAAAACAAAAAAACAATGGGCTCCTGAATAACACAAGCACACAATGCCAACTGTGATTGATAAATATGAAAATAATAGTGCTTGTCCTACTAAAATTACATGTATTTACCAAGAGTAATTGATAGAGGAAAACATACAGTTGGCAGAATCATCCATTTTAAACTCCAAAAATGAAAATGCATAAATGCAACAGGATATGACATCACCCTGTTGTAAAAGGCTCCTAAGCGTGCAGGCACACACACACACAGACACAGACACACACACACTCACTCACTCACTCACTCACTCTCTCTCTTTCTCTCGTCCTCTCAAACATGCTTAAGTTATCAATAAATAAAGAGGACAATCGAACTCAATGTTCTCAAACACCATTGTACATCTGGATCTTATAAACAACGCTTTCGCAGTATAATCAAATGGAACCTTTTCACTATTTTGAGTTACCATGTGAAATCAAACAGTAGGGAAACAAATGAGTGACTGATCTGTATTAAAAACTGAAGAAACAAACATAACTGACAGGAAAAGTTATAGTGGAGATGGACAGCTGTTCTGCAGCAATTTTATAGAAATATCACCGTGGATTTCATTTGGGACCTTCTCAGAAACTCATTATTCGCCCCTTTAGTTTGAGTGTAGATGAATTTAAAATCAAAACCTGATAGCATCAGCCAGTGAAAATGGTAGTTTAGTATTTTTTTTCCAGACAACACACTGGATATATGGTGATGAACACATTGATGTTTGATTCAACCGTCATTTGAAACCCACTGAAGAAACTACATCCTAGACTGACCAGAGACTGCCTATATACAAAATCTGCCTGGATAATAACATTATCCATATTAATACTTTTTTGCACTTAAACGCTAATAATCATGAGACAGTTCATTTGATTATAATAAACAGCTGATCAGTAATTGCACAAGCGTTTGTTCAGAGACACATAATAGGATACTAACGAATCACGTTTCCCACTACATGTGGCGACAAATGACGTGGCTTTCTCAGGGAACCTCGAAAATAGAGGGAAAACAACCACTATAATGATTTTAAGATCAGCACTCTTGTGCTTTGCTTTGGCAATGTGTGTTTAGCAAGAACCGCGAGGCGCCAATTAAAGTTAGCACAACCTACTAAAATAACTCTGCCCTACTTTACCTGAGGTTGGAGCGGTGCTTGCTTTACTCGGACTCATGTAACTGTGCTTTACTGCTTGTGTGTGCTCAGCTGTGATGGGGCAATGCGAATAAATTGGAGTTGTGACTCAAATTCAACAGGTTAAATGAGTTGGCGGTTACGGGACATTAGTAGAGCCACCTCACCACAGCCTCCTGGAACAATTCAGTCAGCATCTCAGTCACTATTCGAGACAGATAACGGAAAATTCTGAGTCGTAAACAAAACAAATGAACAAACTACGTTGCACTGACCGTCTCACTTGGTGCACACTGATAATGCATTTACAGCAAAACAAATAAAAACATCAAAACCGCCAGATTTTCTCCGCAGACCATGACCCTTTGTGACATTTGAACGGCAGCATTTCCTGGCATTTTGAAGAGTAACTTGTCGTCTAAACTGCAATTAGCCAATCAAATCTTTCGTAGCTTAAAGATGGTTCAACGTTTGCAAACTTCTGACAAAAAAAAAAAAAAAGTGGAAACGAAACCAAAAGATGTGAAAAACAATCCAAATAAATCCATGCTGACAGTGGCAGAGAGTGTGAAAAGTGCTAATGCTAGTCCTCCATCCCAGCCCGCGCTCCTCAGTGTTCACGGCCAGGTGTTTGCAGTGGCGACGATGGGACGGCTCTCAGCCCGGGCTGTGTGGTGAGGATGGGACATGGCAGGGTCCAGACGGAGGATGTGGGAAGGAAAAAAAAAAAAAACACACTCGTAACACGGCACACACAAGCAAGTCCTCGGATGAATGTGACATTCACACTGACCGCATGCTGCTGGAGATGTACACATACAAAAGGCCAAACGCCCACCATGCATACTGACTACCAATGGCAAAAATAGAATCCTTTGTCTTTTTTCCTATTTTTTTAATCTCCTATTCTGATCCCCATGTGTCTTCGCTGTAAGGTAAGGCAGGGATTTTTTTTTTTTAAATACATTTTTTATCTGATGTGTGACTGTCTGTCGTAAAAACAAGCTCATGACTAGGCCACCAGAACAGCAGCATCTTTGAGACATCACCATCCCTCCCCCCGCTGCTGATCCTCGACAGGTACGTCGTCCTTGGGAACGGTTACAGATCATCTTCAGAGTCGTTTCCGCGCTACGCCATGTAGATGAAGGTGTTAATGTCCGTCTCGTCTCTCTTGATGTACTTGTGCTCAATGAGCCACTCGATCTGTTCCTTGATCATTTTCTTCTGAGGGAGGAACATGTTCTTGAGGATCTCCACCAGCTCGGTCTGCAGCTGAGCGTTTGTGATCTTCTTACGCATCTTCATGATCTGAATGATGGCCTCCTGAAATGTTGCGGTAGAAAAAAACAAACAAATTAAGCCCGAAGTACACTTGGAGCATAGTGACTAGTGTTAGTGAACAGAGAGCACTAGTAATGATTTTTTTGTTTTTTTGTACCTGTGTTCGTAATATTCTAAGCTGGACGATGCCTTCGTTCTCCTCTTCTCTCATTCGCTCCGTCGTCAGTTGCAATCGGCCGATTAGGTTTATCTTCCCCCTCTTTTGAACCTTGGAATTTTTTCTGAGGAAAAACCAAAATGATTGTTTCTGAAATAAAAGGGCAATTTCTAAGTAAATGAAAGAGCGAGTAAAAGTCAAAGCAGGAGATGAGATGTCCTTACATCAAGGAGAATTCCTGGTTAACGAAAAACAATGTGCTGTCCGTGAAGTCTTTGGGAGAGCTCACTGGCGGTTCGTATGACAGCACTTGACGTTTGAGCTTTGGGAAGGCAACAAGAGACTGAACAAAAAGAGAGGGGAAAAAAGTAAATGATGATGTTACAACATCTATAAACAAATATATTTTAACTTCTCAAAATCAATCGATATTTGATATTTCTAATTCATTTTTAAAAACGCTAGTAATCACTGATAAATGTAATCAAATTTAAAAATGAATATCCATTTTTATACTGGACATTATAATGTTGTGATATCTAAATTCACTTTCACTTGTAACATTATGATTGATTTTAGTTCTTAGTGTTTTATTTTTAATTTTCTTACACAAAATAGTATAACATTTTAATATTGTTTTTTTTATCAGTTATCGGCCAGAAAGATAATTATCGGCTTAACCATATTGGTCAGAATTTTAATATCAGTGCACCCATGTTAAAGCCGGGGAAGTATAGAAAGTATTTAAATGAATAATTTATTGTTAATATATTCCAATAATAAATTCTAATATATTCTAATCTAAATTTAGAGAATAAAGCAAAAAAAATTAAATAAAACTTTTTTCAGACTACAGAATATTCCTTTAACCATCAGCCAATTGCGTTTTAAGTGGATAAGACATTTTCAGCTTTTCTATTGCGTAATTTCAAAATGTTTTCCACTCTATGAATAAAAACTGATATTTTTTGTGACTTTTCAGTGCATGTTCTTTTTTTAAATCTTTAATCCAGACAATGTTCTGTTTAAACATCTTAACACAAAAAGTGCAATTCTTGTGCAAAAGTTTCCAGAGTGCTTTTAAGTTTGTCTTAAATTTATTTGATGTTGATTAATAGAATCATTTCATGTTGATTAATAGAATACCCAGAGAGTTCGTCTCAGTTCGGCGTCAGGCAGCTCAGTGGCAAGTTTCAGATTCTCAAAGCTGATCTTCTCGCGTGGTCTTTGGTTCCAGGCAAAAAGTACAGCCAATTGGAAGGTCGTGACCTCCAGGTCGTATTGCCCTACTTCATTCTTGAAAGTGATCTACCGGACAGCACATAGACTGATTAGTTAGAAGTTGCAAGCATTAACAGTTGAAAATCACTACTAAGCATTAAACACCTAAAGTGTATAAAATACACCCACAATGCCATTAGACATGAGGTGGTGCCAGTGGAGTTTGCGGCCGCTGTGGTTCTTCTTGTAGAAGTCCTCCACCTCAGGGATGAGATCTTCCAGCTCGGTGGGCAGAGACACAAACACTTTCTCTGAGCTGCGTGACCAAGCTCCAGCATTCAAGATCTTTATGTTAACAGAGTCCGCTAGTAACAGAAGGGGAGAGAAAGAGACCTTAGGAACTACTGTCCAAATGAAAAACAAGCCACGTCACATCATCACTAATATTTATCACAAATGTTCACTATGGTGGAGCTTGACCAAATTTGGTTTAGGGATAGGTTTATGGGTAGGGTCAGGCTGTAGCTAGACCTTAAAGCTCCACCCCTAACATCCAGAGAGGAGGAGCTGGATGTCAAGCTCCACCCATTGGCTCTGCAGTGACATTACTCCAGTCTTCAGTCTCACATGATCCTTCAGAAATCATTCTAATATGCTGATTTGCTGCTCAAGAAACTATTTTTTGGAAACCGTGATACATTTTTTTCAGGATTCTTTGGTGAAAAATCTTACCGACCCCAAACCTCTCAAAGGTAGTGTAAATGCAAATATATAGAGAAAAACTGGGCTTGTAAGTCACCTGGTAAAGCCAGCTTGTTGTGTTTGTGCACCTCCTTGAAAACCTGGTTAAGATCTTCGGACACTTTGATGTCTTGGAACATTCTAGCTAGCTTGTTCACATAGTCAGCAGGCATCCCAACTTCCTGAAGCATGCCAGACCGAAGCAAACGGTGAGCCATTAAAATACAAAACACTCAAATTGAGTTTCAGTCACTCATTTGTCTTTTATTCTCACCCTGAGCCACTCGACCATGTTCTCCTCGATCTCACTGTCCGCTGAGATGTCCAGGATCAGACGCCTGGTCAGGTGGGCTTTGTGGTATCTCATGAACACATCCTTATTCTGGACGTATTTTAGCACAAGCAGCTACAGGAAGGAATTAGTAGTATTACATTTCGAAACACTTTTGAGGACAACAACAACATGTGACATGTTATAATAGCCTCACCACTTCCTTCAGTTTGAGCTCAATCTCCTCTGAGGTCAGCTTTTTGCTGAGGGGTGTCTTTCTTAGCAGCATGTCACAATAGTTGGCAAGCAGCTCCGGACACTTTGACTCTGGTTGTGTTTTGAGGCCCACTCTGCATTTAGAGACATTAAAGGGTTAGTTCACCAAAAAAATGAAAATTCTGTTATCATTTACTCACTTTCATGTCGTTCCAAACCTGTAAGACTTTCGTTCATCTTCAAAACACAGATGAAGATATTTCAATGAAACAGAGATTTCTGTCCCTCCATTGACCGCAACTATCACTTAAATGCTTCAAAACGTTAATAAAGAGTTCGTAAAACTAATCCATATGAATTGAGCAGTTTAGTCCAAATTTTCTGAAGAGACACGATCACTTCATATGATTAACAGATTTAATTTAGGCTTTTATTCACATATAAATATAATTAATTAACATATAACCAGAGATGGCAAAAGTACTCACTTCCCATACTCAAGTACAGAAACTTGTTAAAAAATACTCTGGTAAAAGTATAAGTACTGATTTAACTTCTTTACTCAAGTAAAAGTAACAAAGTACAGGCTTGGAAATTTACTCAAAGTATAAAAGTAAAAGTAGCCTTGCGAATAACAACCATTTTTTATGGAAAGCTACCTGGAGTGCAAGCTGACAAACTTAAGTGGATAAAAAAGGTTCTTTATATGCCATTGCCTACATTTTAAATGGATGTCTGCCAATAGGCCTAAAACATCACATATATGATTATTGTGACAGAGACTGGGACTCCAGGTTAATAAGATTCTGACAGAGTAGCAAGATATGAATTCAATTGTGATTCTGTGAGAATTCACAGATCCAGTTTCTCTTTTTTAATCTTCCCCTTAACATTTAAAGGAATCTACATGTATGGGTGTGTGCTCAAATATGGCTTCTGGAAAGAAAATAAAGGATAAAATATGAATTACTAAACAGGAAGTACCCCATACTTTTAGAGTTACAGCTAACAACCACTAGATTGCAGCAGCTTATAAGAAATGAACTGACAGCTAGTAAATCTTTGAACAAGGAGTGCTAATAATAATAAAATGTAATATGTCAGGCTCACAATTTTACTATCTCAAACATCTCTCTCAGATAAGGCCAAGGATGATTGGGAATGTCTTGCTACTTGTCTGCCGAATCTCTGGGATCTCCGCTTTCTTCATTTTCAATAATGTCGCCGTCCATACTACTATGTTCTAACGTTACCGTCATCAAGCCGCAATGATTTGCCGCGAATGAATGCCGGCGAATCAGTCGAGTCGTCTTGTAGTGGTGCGTCAAGTGCAACGTATATTCCCATCCAATTAGATTGAATTCGGTATTGATGACGCGAAAAATAATAACGGTAAAATTATTTGAAACTAAAGTAACGAGCCAATTTTGTAAAATGTAAGGAGTAGAAAGTACAGATATTCGTAAAAAGTAAAAATATCTGAAAAATCTACTTTGTACTTCGTTACTTCCCATCTCTGCATATAACTCATCAACTCACACAGCAGTTGTGGTAAACGGAAGCTCAAGCATGTTCGCTTGATATGAAAGAACCAATGAGGTTCATTCAAGTGTTACGCAGCATGTTTGAGCTTAAGCAGGAACCAATTAGGTTAGTTTTTGAGTGTCAAGAGTTTCTGTTTATGTTTGCTGATAAATGTTTATGAATAAAAGCCTAAATTAAAAGCCTAATGTACATTTATAGCACTAAAATTTGTGTTAAATTAAAATTTTCACCTCTTTTTGAAAGTCATAGAAACATTATCATGGATTTTTTATTTTGCTATTGTAGAAAATGGGAGCGCAAAAATATATTTGTTGTAGTTTCTGTTCACTGCTACAGAAGTTTAGCCAACCATGCCAACTTCCTTTTCGGAGAACCTCGTAAATGTGAAAAATGTCCATTAGCAGCACTCCACTATGAAGTTAAAAGAAGATTATTTTGTGCTTCTCACTATAAACCGTTACTCACCCCTTCTGTTTTAATGGCAGCTCCAACTTAAATATTGTGGCATCATTTACAACTGCTTTGTATGCCTGGGGGAAATTAAAAACTATATGTTACAAGTCATTAAAAATGTACGCAAGACAAACATTTTATTTATGTAAAATAAACAAGTCAATTCATTTTCCAGTAACATCAACAGTGTTTCTAATGGATTATTGTTGTATAACCTTCCAATGTTCTCCTGTGTCATCACAGATCTCTGGTAACCATCTGCAGTGTGATCTAGTCATGCATGCTACTTACTGAGGCCAACTGTAAGACAGTGAGAATGAATACGGATGGGGCGGCGTGCTCACTTTGTCTCTGGCTGTCAGGAACCGAGGATCATCCTGAAAAGCTTCCTTTACTAATTTACTAAAGCGATTGAACAGAGTCAGGAGCTGCTCCACATACTTCTCAGAGTCCTGAGGAAATCCATAAACAAGAACGTTAACACTAGTATGGCATAGTGGCGGCACTAATGGTTGAGAATCTGGCATAACACAAAGGTCAGAATTTCAAAGCTTTGAATATTGTTCTCACTGTTGTGATGGTCTCGGCAGCGGCCACCATGTCTGCCAGCCCAGCACTGATGATGTGATCCTCAAGGTCTTTCAGCATGGGTTCAATCCCATTAGGAACTTTATCCATGAGAGAGAACATGAGGTGCAGCTCTGTGGATGAAGAGTTCACTGAGGTTTAAAAGCTTATATTTAAAGATATTATATAGCTATTTAGAAAAAAATGCAACTTTATGGAAAATACACCACTGTTCAATAGCATAGGGTCAGTAAGATTTTTCTTTTAAAAGGAATCCAATCCATATATTTTATTCAGCAAGGATGCATTATATTGATCAAGTAAAGACATTTATAAATGTTACAAAATATATATTTTTTAATTTTATTTTCTTAAAAGAATCCTGAAAAAAAATCTAGCACATTTTCACAAAAATGTTAAACGGCACAACCGTTTTCTCATTGATAACAAGAAATGTTTTAGTTAGGTTGTTTAATGAAATTGTGTAATTTCTTGAAGTGATTGTTGTTGTTTTTTAATGTTTATTTGTTTGTGGTGTCTGTAATGTGCAATGGTGGCGAATGAGTTTCCCCTTACAGGGATTAATAAAGTTCTCTTACTTACTCTTACTTATGTTTCTTGAGCAACAAATTAGAATATTAGAATGATTTCTGAAGGATCATGATTCATGTGACACTAAATACCGGAGTAATGAAACTGAATATTCAGCTTTGCATCACAGGAATAAATCACATTTTAAAACATATTCAAATAGAAAACAGTTATTTTAAATTGTAATAATATTTCACAATATTACTGTTTTTTACTGTATTTTTAATCAAATAAATGCAGCCTTGATGAGCATAACAATCTTCTTTCATATACATTAAAAAAATCGTACCCACCCCAAAATTGTCAATGGTAGTTTACCGTATATAAAACCCTAAAGGGATCATTTTAAATATAGATTACCAAGTCTCATACTCACTGTCAGTCTCATTCCGTTTGATCATGCCTGGACATTCAGCCAAGATAGTTTCTTTAAATGACGTTACAAGCGCATTCACACAACATTCCATAAGCTGGGGAAAAAAACAATACACAATTTCAGTTCTATATGACTTTACTTTAAATTAAATATCAAATACTGAATCATTTAAAAATAAAAATAAAATTCTCAATATATTTACATTTAAAAATAGACAAATATTTTAACGATTGATGCCCTATATTGTGAATGAATTAATTATAAATGCGTTATTTAAAAGACAATCATGTACTCACTGCTTGTACAGAGTTACATTCACGTCGTGTCTCTAAATATCGTAGTGCACGTTTCTCCTCTTCCCTTAACTTAGCGTCAGCCTGTAAACAGATATGAGAATATTTGACTGCAGGAAGAAATGTAGAGTGTTAGCAGGAGTCATAACTCTCCTCTTGGCTGTGCAGTTATCATCTAACGTGATTAGTATGAAATACGAAGTGTGAAATCTGATGACTGGCAGGCCGTACATATTTCATGTAGTTTTGTACTCCATTCTGCTGCAGGTAGGACGGTGCCTGGGTCCTGTAGAACCTCTCAGTGGAGTCTAGGTAGGCTTTCTCAAAGTTATCCCTGTAGATCTGCAGTTTATCATCAGGATTGGAGCACAGGTTCACTGGAAGAGGGATTATAAGAGACTTCTGACTAATAACGCCATCCAATTCTTTGAATTTTCATCAAACAATCACTCAATCCAATAAAAGAACTGCAGCAAATCTCACCATACGACTCTCTGACCCCGATGACCAACTGCGAGTCAAACGCCTCTCCCAGCCGCTCGGCATGGACCAACTTCATTGCACTATCCTGCAATCTATTCTTGATGTTGGAGAATATAGATTCGTTCCAAGTGTCCAGCATCAACTGCAAGAACATAAGCAGAACAAAAGAATGAATCCCATTCTAGGTTAACAATAGTGCTGGGCATTGACACAAATTTCACAGTTCGATTAAATTTCGATTCACAGGCTTGTGATTCAAAACAGTTCCGATCTCAATTCAATTCGATATTGAATCATTTGGATAAATATCAGTACGTCAACTAATGCTGAAAATTATTTAGGGATCCCTGTCAGTTGGTACATTACTATAATATTGAAGACTAAAATTAACAACTGTTTTGTACACCGACTTTTGAAACAGTTTTTAATAACGTTTTTATGACAATTATGTTACTACTGTGGCTGTCATAAAAACTTGTTTTCATGATGGATTTATTCAAACATACATTAAATATTGATGAACAGGTTAAGTAAAATATAATGAATATGTAATATAGAGCATATATGGTAACAATTTGTTTTACTGTGTCCTTGTTACATGTTACATGTAGTTACTATACATTATGCATTACTGCATGCAACTATCCCAAAATCAAACTTAATCCTAACCTAACCCTATAGTAACTACATGTAGTTAATTGATATTAATCAGTGCTTAAATGTAACAAGAACACCTTAAAATAAAGTGTAACGGCATGTATTTGTCAAAATACGTTGAACGTCTTTCCGTGGTTGAAACATTGATTGTGCGATTACATGAGACACGGGCCTGGTTTCACAGACAGGGCTTAGATTAAGCCAGGATTAAGCCCTAGTTCAATTAGGACATTTAAGTAGATTTTTTACAATTTTCCTTAGAAAAAAACATTACTGATGTGCATCTCACGACAAAACAATGGCTCTGACATATTTTAAGATATTTTAGTGCAAGTTGCTTTCAGTTAAAACAGCTCAAACAAGGATTTCAGTCTGGGGACTAGGCTTAAGCCTTGTCTGTGAAACTGGGTGATGATATATGATATATTTCGATTATATGTTTCTTTCAACATACTTTCTGACATTCATTCTGACATTCATTCATGGGGGGGGGGGGGGTATGTGGTAGTGACATGCCCCCTGAAATTCATACATTTTATATCATATTATAATGCAACTTATTAGGACTATATATTTATAGAATAGCAAAGTAGGCTTAATCAATATACAAGACTTAACCACGCAGATAAAGGCTATCATGATCATTTTGCCAAAAATGAACCATGTATTTGTTTAGATTATAATACGTTTTATTTTTAACTTAAACAAATACAACATATAACATTCGAAAATCATCGGCTTAGACTGCATTTGAAGAAAAATAAACACAACAGTTTTCTGTAGCCTTGTGCGAACTTATTCAATAGAATTAGACTTCTAGAATGTTCTTTCCGGTGCAAAAATTTTTTTTTCTTTTTTTTTCTTATCATAGCCTACAAATGTCTTCGGAAACACATTTTACTCGATTTACTGAAGCTTGTAAAATGCATTTGCAGCTGCACAGCTTACACATTGAGCGTCTGGCTCGCTCATAGGCTGCGCTGCTGCAACTGCACATCCAATGGCGCGGGCGCCTCTGACGTGCGACCAATGAGCCAACTCTACGTCATTACACGTCAGAGCCCGTCAAGGTGGCGCCAAGTCCCCGAATTTGCCATTATAGCAGCGGGTCTTCGTTCATTCATCATAGTCTGTCTGACATATATATTAGAAGTTATGCGTCTGTCATAGATTTGCACTGAATTGATTCTCAAAAATACGGAACAAAGTGCGTTCCGTATCAGTTCAATACGGAACAAGCCTTTTATGTGTCAAATACGGAACCATTCCGTATTATACGGAACGGTTGGCAACCCTAGCTGTAACTAGTAGTAATGAGAAAGAGATGATTAGTCCATGAGGCGCTTGAACTGAGGTGCTACAGCGATCTGTCACGCCACATTAAAGAGAGCAAAAACGGTACAGTCAAGCTACAAAATAATGTATAGTGAAGATTTGTTCACACGTTATCTGGAACCTGCATAGACTCAAAGACTGACTTCTTGGGATTCAAGTGGTATTTTCAACCCGCACTAAAAAACGTTTTCTCCCACTGACCTTCCTAACAATGCTGTCTTCCACATTGGACTTTTTGTTGCTGCCCTGTTTGCCCATCAGGGTGATCTCCAGCTGGCAGAACGGTTTGGGCAGAATGTCACACTGCGTGAAGAACTTCCTCCACTCCACGATGTAAGCCTTGAGGAGCGCAGTGTCATCTTGGTGACTGAGCACTCTCTAAACACCAATGTTCAAGAATGAGAGATGACTCTGCTGAAGAACATTAACAAGTCACTCTGGATCTCTCTTACCGCTTGAGCTTGCTTAATAAAATCTAAGATGTCCTCCTTGAGGGCCTGGTGGATCTTTGCAGGTCCTTTGTCATCCCATAGACAAACTGCATGAACATCTCTATAAGAATGAAGAAGAATAGAAAGACAGACTGAACACTCAGACTTTAGTTAATGTGTATGATATAAAAAGATCTGAATTAATAATATAAGATCTTACGAGAAAAGATCGAACCACTGCTGCTTAGTTACAGACTCTTGGCGAAGCAACTTGAGGACAATGGGGCGCATAAGATCCCACTTGTCCTCAAACTGGAGGGAACCCTTGTTCTAAGCAAAAAGACATGGAAGAGGAAACAGATGAACAAGAGCATGCCTGCATTAATATGTGACAATGAACCAGACATTATGGAATACTTTTCCAGAAAATCAGTGCTTCTCAAAGCATTTACAATAAGGCAAGTATTTTTTTTAACTATTATTTCTTATGTCTTGGGTTGATTTTTGTGGTTGCTGTTGTTAAAAAACACATTAAAATAGAAGATTTCTTTAAATTATTTGAACTTTTTTTTGTAGTATTTCTTTGTTTTTATTACTTCAGTTTTTTTGTAATATTAAGGTTACAAAGAAAGATTATTTACTAATCTTTCAACATGCCATTTGCTACTTTTCAAATACATTTATGTATAGATTTAAAGGGATAGTTCACCCAAAAATGAAAATTCTTTCATTATTTACTCACCCTCATGTCCAAACTCGTCAGACTTTCGTTCATCTTCAGAACACAAATGAAGATATTTTAATGAAATCTGATAGATTTCTGTCCCACCATTGACCACTTTGTTGCTTCAAAAAGTTCATAAAGACAGAGATTGTAAAACTAATCCATATGAATTGAGAGGTTTAGTCCAAATTTTCTGAAGAGACTCGATCACTTCATATGATTAACAGTTTAATTTAGGCTCCGCACTCACATCAGTTGCGGTAAACAGAAGCTCAAGCGTGTTCACTTGATGTGCAAGAACCAATGAGGTTCATTCTCGTGTTACGCAGCATTTTCGAGCTACAGCAAGAACCAATGAGGGTTGTTTCTGCCTGTCAAGCAGGTTCGGTTGAGCTTTTATGTTTGCTGATCATTGTACGGTATATCTGCTCGATTAAAATGGATTAGTTTTACAATCTATTTATGAACTTTTTAAGCGTCAAAGTGGTAGTTGCGTAGCTGTCAATGGAGAGTACAGAACTGGCTCAGATTTGATTAAAAATATCATAATTTGTGTTCCAAAGACGAACGAAAGTCTTACAGGAGTAATTAATGTCCGAATTTTTTTTTTTTTTGGGTGAACTATCCTTTTGTGTTACCATTGTACAAGACTTAGACTTTCAATCTTAAATTATGAAAGTGCATTAAATATTTTTTTTAAATAAACCATGATCATTTTAAAATAAATATACAATTTCAAATGCGTCAGTGTGCAGAAATGGTGGTGTAATTTCCAGCAAAATGAACAATACTGCAACAACTAAAGTTTACATTTTTAGAACAGTATTGTACTTGTTTACCAAAGAGACAGCAAAGAGCTTGAAATTAAGAGACATGATGAAAAAAAAGTAACAATCAAGGTAAATATCACTTGTGAACAGAACACAAAATGCTATTATGCATAATTTCCAATTCTAATAAGTGTATAAAATATTATTTATTGTAGATATTTTGGATAAAAAAAAATGCTAGCTATGAAATTAGTTAACCAGAAAAGAAGTCTGTCATTTTATTTCAAAAACTCTTCAAATGTAATTTCCACCAAATATAGATAGCAAGCAACAGGCTGAACGTTTTTTAAAATCAAACTGATAGTTCATGTCTCTAGACAGCATTTTGGATATCACTGGTGCGTTTCAACATATATGACACCCAAAATATTGTCTAGGTACGCAAATCACTAGGTTTTGACACACAACCACTGTACTTAACTGCATTAAAACACACATCCTCCATAAAAATGTAATGTCTCTACTCTCTCCAATTAACACTCCTTAAATGATTTCCTCACATATTTTAACTCCTTAAAAATATCTGACCCCAGTGACCTGACATGACATGTAAGGCAAGAAAAGATTAGCACATGAAACTCGATATGATCAACACATATAGGCATTTCATTAGCTCAGTCACAACACTGTCATTTAATCATTTGCCAAGCTAACAACATGCGTGCAGCTAACTGTCATCAGGTACATGCCCCTTTATGATATACATTTATAAACAAAATAATACTAAGGGTCAACACCCAGTGGCGTGAAAACTGACTTTAAGTAGTCTGCATGCAGTCCAGCATTATTGTGATTATTGGCTTCATTAATCTCAGCTAGCTCACAGCCTGCTAGCTAAACACAGGCTGCAAGACAGTCTTATAAACTCACTGGACATACACGTAAGAGTCCGAGCAAGCCACTAAACGTCAATGGTACAACATAGTCATTTTAAGGTTATAGGCGTATACACGGGTTTTTGACTGTTTCTGGAGAATTTGGAGGCAAAAAAGTGTCTCTTACCTTTAACAAATGAGACATCGTCGCCATGTTTCCTTAACTTATCCCCTCGTCCGATCTCGCGAGAATTGGTTCGGTATTAGAACTAGCGATGGGATCTTTGGTTCATTTCTGCAAATGGATTCTTTCGAACCGTTCGTTTTAAAGAACATGTTCAAAATCGATTCAGTGCTTCTTTTATGTCATGCAGATATAATTCATCTCATGATAGATCATAATGACATAGTTTTTTAGGACCTATAAATAAGTAAAATATAAAAAAACTGAATAGGCCTATATCAAATATTTAACAATTTTGCATTAATAAATTCCATTTATTAAAACATTTTGGTACACTTTTGTTTCGTAGGCCTATATGTCAAATATGCACACACTTTCATGATATCGTATGGCTCCCAAATAGCCTATCAGCTCACTCATCGGAATCTCGGCTCATTCCTGAACGAATCGTTCAGACCGGTTCTGTGAACTTGTTCAACTGATATACAGTATTGTAAAGAACGCCTCGTTAACCAGTCGGACATTCCTACACAGATTGAGAATGTATGGTGGATTAGCATGTGGTGGCATTGGCAATATTATGTGTATTATTCAACACGTTTTAAAACGTTGAGATACAATATAAGGGTGATTCTCTAAATTGGGTGCCCTTCAAGTCCCCCAAACTTGCTTCAAAGATTTTCAATTGAAGGAAATCACAAAATGCATTTTAATGCTTTCAATTATTAGAACCAGGTGCCTTTGCATTACAATGCAACACAATTTCTTTAAAAAAAAAAATTATTTAAAGATAAGGTTGCCTAAGTAGTAGACAACAAGCAAGTTTGCATGTCCTCACTAACCATCATTACATTTTCATTGCATATCAAACAAATAAAAAGTACAATTAATACCAAAATGTTGCTGCTAATATAATCATGTTGGTCTACTTTAAAGGTTCTCTAAGCGATCCTGGGTGACTTCACTTCTTGTTGACGTTCGAACTATTGTCAAACAAAACCGAGGCTAGCTAGACCCTCCCCCCTCCTCATCCGCACACTAACCCCCCAAACCACACCTCCAAACCCTTCTTGTCGGTCATTGGCTGGAACAGTTTGTTATGTTTCGGGGAGCGGGTCGCAGCAGTTTGTTTCTGTTGCTGTTTGTGGAGCCTGGGCTGTCTACAGAGATCGCGTTTCTTTACAGTGTGTTCAGGGGACAGGCAGCCAGCGGATAGTGAGGAGATGTTTGCTGTATGTGACAAAAAATGTTTTGGCCTAAAAAACGCGTGACATCGCTTAGAGCACCTTTAACTAAAATATACATATATATATATATATATAAAAAATAATTAATTATATATGAAATTACAATATTTATACACGTCCTCCAGTTTGTTTTCAACCCCGTCACGCCATACTATTTACCCCCCTATAAAAATAATGGATCAATCCCTGTGGCATCTCATCCAGGAGGTGACATCACACAAGTCTCTTAAAGAACATGCTGCAAAGAAAGGCAAGTGTCGGTATCTTTTCTTACCTATATTTCATGTTTTTAGCTGTCAGATTAAGATTGTCAGGCTCAACATTTCAACTCTGTTGTATGACTAAATGATAGTAAACAACGGTTTGAGAAGAATTAAATAATAGTTTTGCAAAACATTACGATTTTATGATGTCCTAAATGCCATGTGGTGCTACTGTCTTTGCTAAGTAAGGAGTTATGGCTACTATTAGCCAAAAACTTCAACCCCGTCACATTCAACCCCGTCACATTTTTAGTATAACAGGGTTGAATCGTTGTGACAGGGTTGAATGTTTGACACTTCTTAGTAGATTACTCAATTGTAGACTTGTTGTATTGTGATGTGAACTGTCAGAAATAATCGATTATGCCATTTTTTTTTTCAGACATCGCAATGCCAAAAACAGCAGCAGAGAGGCAAAGACAGTACAGAGCAAGAAGGGATGCAGACGCAGAGAGAAGGGAAAAATATCTCAGGAGTGAGCGTAAAAGGTGGAAAAGGGACATAGAGGCAGGGAAAAAGAAAGAATAAGTCGTAATATATAATAAATAAATCCATTCTATATTGAAATAATGATGATCACTTCAACCCTGTTATCATTTTTAACCCCGTTATGCTGAGTTCAACCCTGTTATTTGATAGTTTTTATTAATATTTTCATGATAAGAAGACAAATTAGGTCAATGTTTGTTTTGCTGTGTGTAGAATTTACCGGACAGTCGGAAAAAATACGAAAGCCTGATTAAATCCTAATGTTAATGCATATTTTGTGATAAGATATGAAGACCAATGTTAGATACAGTTTTCATGAGCTGATTTGGTATTCAAATGGTGAGTATTTAAAAATAAAATTCTACATGCAATAAATGATATCAAACAAGGGACATCTCATTGAAAAGATTTTACAAGAATTTACTTGAAAATCTTTTAAAACCATATTTAAACAGGGTCCAAGTGGTTTGTGACGGGGTTGAACTTCAAAACAACTTTCAGTAAGAAAAAACACTCAATATCGATTAGAATTTCATGCCTGAGGTGGGAAAATGCATTTTCTTAAAGGTTTGACTAATCCACTATCACATGAAATGATCAGAAATACAACTATTTGAGGTATATATATAAAAAAAAGGGTATGACCCAAAAGGCACCCATCTCAGAGAATCACCCATAAAATATTTGTGTGTTGTGTTGTCTACTATTTCCGCACAGGCTGTGACAGTGACATTCAATAATCAGATGTAAGCCTAAACATAGCCAGACGTGAGAGCTCCATAAAAGGCCATATCACATGACCACGTGTAGGCTACTGTGTGACTGTTTATGTGTGTACGTGTACGGTGTACACCATGTAGAGCGGATTGGCCACCACTAGTTATTTCCATTTTCAAATTAGTATCTTCTGGTCTTCCAGCCTGGTCAAGATGGTCAGGCTTGTTTTAGAAAAGGTTTAAGCACTTTTAAACTAGTCAGAATTGTCAGTCAACCTCTACTGCACTTGGAAATAGGCCTAATCTTAAACCAGGTAAGAACAAACCACCAAAAACAACTTCTTTTTTTTCATGCAACCAAAATTTGCCACCATAGATTTCATATTTTAAATAATGAACCATAAAAAAAAATTATTATTACAATTTTATATGATTCTCATAAAATTCCTCTTAAAATTATCTTTGTTTTCTCTTCGTGGACTTTGGTGTCTCATCAAATACTGAGCTCAGTTTCTGCACACTTATGTCCAGGCTATAAATTAGTGCCTTGGTTATGGGGTATTTAGGATTTGCATTTATTTTGATAGTGAGATTTTGTCTAACATTCTTTCTGTAGGCCTACATACTAAATACAATCAGTCATTAAAGGGGGTCATAATATGATAATTCAAATGTTCCTTGATCATTTGACAGTTAAGAGTTCGTTATACTATAAAAATACCCTGTAAGTTTCAAAACTCAAAACTTTCTTGTTATTCCAAAAACTGCTTTTATTGAAACCAAGGCCAGCAAATGACATGATCTAAAAAGTGGAGAATTGTGACGTCACACTTCAACTTTGGCCCCGCCCACTGGACCTAAGTGAACAGTGACATGAGAACGAGAAAAGATCGATACAGGATCAATACATTAACCTTCCAAACGATCCTAATGCTAGGATAGTGTGTGTGTTTCCTTCAACAATGTGAATGTCTCAGCAGTGCATTATTTGTTTATTCTGTGTATTGTGGATTACGGTGCAGGCTTTGCAAACAGACTTTTACGATATGGATCTGCCAGCAACGCCGCAAACATGTAACCAAGTAGTCATGTTTATTCTAATGCCTGATCTGTGATCAATGTAATTATTTAAGTTCAGACTGATTATCTCTCAAAATATCTTTCAATACGGTTTATGCATCAGTAAATCAAGCCAGTGACTAAACAATCAACTTCACGTCGTTTCTCTTAGTAGGATGAAAATAACCATATTTAAACTGTGATTAAATTGTATAAAGAAAGCATATCAAAGAACGCTCCCATTCTAATTGGCCAAGCTGTCAGTCACACAGCCAGTTTATCTGGACACTTGCCAAAACTCGTTGAAATCAATCATCACAAATCATGACGCTGTTACAATGTACAGTACGATGCTCTTACTGTATTTGCATCGTGTTTGCATTGTTATTTGGTGAAAGCTAGAGGTGTAATTTCATACGCGATCAACAGCTGTCTGTCATCTGCTCAATGCTCATCACTGCAACCTTTCATGTGATGGGAATAGATCATTATGATCAATACTTTCCACAATTCCTTAATTTCGATAGCTGCTGTAATAGTAAAAACGTAGTAAAAGTTTTAGAGAGAGTTCCACATGTAATGCTAGCTGTTTCGTATGCAAACGTGTCAGCCAATCACAGCAGTGGGCGTTTACACTGAAGTCGCACAGCAGACACGCCCCTTCCAACAGAGCGTTCAAATCAGAGGCTAAAATCAGGCTCTGAAAAATGCCTTTTATTTATAAATTATGACAATATTTGATGTTAAAATCATTATAAGAGCACCCCAGGAAACATTATAAAATAATAAAATAATCCAGTCTATGACCCCTTTAAAAGCTTATTAATACTACATTGATACTGAAATAAACAAGGTTATAACTTTTATCCCCAAAACAACCATTTCTTGACACAAACTTAAGCAAGATATATGGGAATATATATTCCCTCCTGAGCTTTGGCAGTCTTCAGTTTGGACTCTGTGCTTGGTCCACTTTATGGCGGCGACGGAAAAAGCCACACTGAAAATAAAATCACATGAAGAGTCAGTGCATGCTGAGATAATGGAAAGAACCGTGTAATATCATTATCAAGTGTGTGGACACAAATTTTTACCTTTATGAGAATGACAATAATGATGAAAAGGAGCAGAAATCCTCCTATGGATCCTCCAATGATGGCACCTTTAGATGACGTCACGATCAGCTTCGTGATCATCACCTCAACCTGCATTGCATGAAAAATCTCTCAGCCACCAAATGCTTGATAACATGTTTGCATGCTTGAAAAGGGTCTGCCATTCACCGTAACAGTCCTTGAAGTATCCTTCGCAGCATAGACGGTCTCATCAAAGCTGTATTTTCCTACGGCAGTGATCTTGTCTGATTTTTCCTATAGGTTTGAAAAGTTATATTGGATAAACAGGTTGTTCATGCACATGATTATCACTATACCAGGACTTGCTGCTTTCACGCCACGTCGTAATTACCGTAATTTCAAGATGAAAACACGTGACATTCTACTCGGAGCTGTTCACGTCCTCGCAATTGGAATTATGCGTTTTTATGACAACACCATCAACACCTAAATTAATCTGCAGTGGTCAGGTGGTACACCAGTCACGTGGTACAAGTAGGAGCTCTCAGAAAATTCCCAGCTTTCAAGTTGTAATTACAAGCTCTACGAGGACGTGAACGCTTTTTACACATTTAATGCTCCTAATTACAGTAATTACGACATGGCGTGATAGCACCTTTGCAACTATACCTGAACATCTTTTATCAAAACATCGGCAACAATGATGATTTTCTGCAGCTCTTTCATGGTACATTTGATGACATGGGGTCCCTACAGGCACAAAAATATAAATATAAAATGAATTTTAAATTGAAAATATTTTAATTATTTAAACAGTTGAACAGTTTAAACAGTTTTTTAAAAGCATGATCAATGTTTTAAGGTAATATCTTACCTCCACTTTATTTCCTTGCCAATCACACTTCTAATGCAAAAGGAGCAATAAATGTTAATTTGAAAGCCTTCATGCTGTTTATGGTCACTCTAAGCACTAAATATTTCATGTGGTACCTCTGGTTTGACACTTTTGATGTGCAGATCGGTTTTGTCGGTGTCCTTTGTTATGTGTACAACTACATCGATTGTAGCGCCATACTTATTTTCACCTGCAAACTGAATCAGAATACAATAGAATATATCATATAAATATATGAACATAAAAATTATCCGGTTCTTATGTGATTTATATACTGTACCTGAAATTCAAACTGCATCTGTTGAGTGTCTTCTTTTGCACCCTCTTCAATACGGAGTCTATTTGGGGAGGCTGTACTGTCGTTGTGGAATAAATAAATAAATAATAATACATATGCTTCAAATATTACAAAATCAAGAGGTTTAAATGGGTCATGAACTGCATTTTTTTTATATATTACCTGAAGTGTACTTATATCTTACATCAAAATGGTCATCATTTAGAAAGTTAAAGTCAATTTCTACCCTGATTTCAGCCCTCTGATTTGAACGCTCTGTTGGAAGGGGCGTGTCTGCTATTAAGTAAACGCCCACTGCTGTGATTGGCTTACATCTTCTCATATGAAATAAGTATTATATGTGGAACTATCTCGAAAACTTTACTATGTTTTTACTATTACAGCTGTTAACTAATCGTGAAAAGTGTTGATTATAGCATTATATTTAGATCTACTCCGATTGCATTAAAGGTTGAAGCAATGAGCATTGTAGCCTATGACAGATGTGTCTGTTGAGCGAATGAATGCAGTGATCTCATCATTGCAACTCTATTTCTGCACTCTCACAAATGTTTTCATCATAACTAATAGTACAAACACGATGTAAATAAGATTCACTGTGCAGTGTAGACAGCGTCATTGATAATAATGGGAGTTTTGGCGAGAGTCCAAAACTCAGTCACTGATAAACTCTTGACATCTCCAGCGATTATAAAGGGAGGGTTCTTTAAACCGCTTTCTCTATATAATTTAATCACAATTAAAATAACAGATTATTTTCATGCTACTAAGAAAAATAATGTAAAGTTGACCGTTTAGTCGCTGGCTTGATTCTGACGCATAAACAGCGAAAAAAATATTTTGAGACAAAGAACATCTGACTGTACATGAATCATATCCGAAATCACTGGTCACAGATTAGGCATTCGATTTAACACAGTTACTTACATGTTGTGGCATTACTGTCGGGTCCATATCTTACAGTAAAAGTCTGTTTGTAAAGCCTGTGCCGAAATTGTGACTGATTTACCACATAATCCACAGTGAAATGTACCGAACAAACAAATAATTCTCTACTGAGACATTCACATATAGTTGAAAGTAAATAACCACTTTTCTAGCATTAGGATCCTTTGGAAGGTAATTTAATTTTTAGTCCCGTGATCCTGTATCTATAATACCGTAAATACCTCCCTTCTCTTTATGTCATTACATCATAATGTGACTAAATTTGAACAAAGTTGTTTTTGGAGCTTGGTTTTAATAAAAGCTGTTTTTGGACTAACTAGGAAGTTTTGATTTCTGAAATTTACTGGATGTTTTTATAGTACAATGACTATAAATGACTATTTTATAGTACATGTCAAAAGATCAAGAAAACGTATTTCTCAATTCATGACCTCTTTAATTCAAAATACTTATCAGGTTGTTTGTTCACTTACCCAGTCAGCTGGATTGGTAGGGAATACATCACATTAAATGCATATTTTTTTGAGTCCAGAAGCTGAGAGCCATTATTCTGACTAAAACCAGAGAAAATGTTTTTTTTTTTTTTAAATGCACATTTAAAAAATTAGTAACTGATTTTTATATAAAGAGCAAGAGAACCAGCTCTCAAACCTGGTTAGATTAGCGATAATCTCAAAATCCCTCAATTCAGATTTGATGTCATTGAGCTGCCAGGAGACGAAGAGGTTGGTCTGGGAAATGAAAATAAAACAACAACAACTTTTCATTGCTGGAAAAAATCAAGTCCAAATGACATCAGAATTCAGAATTTCAAAGATAGTCATACCTGTGTGTCTCTTTTGAAAACAGGGTGTTGAATATTACACTGTATCTGATTGTCATTCTTCACAGGGCAGGTGGCACCTTCTATTTTCTGTAAGTGAGACACCAAAACAGGATATCCTGTATAAATGCATCAACGGCAGAGATAATTGGCTTTTGCAAGGTGAGGTCATGTTTTTTTTACCTTCTGACTGAGTATACTGGGGTAGGTCAAAGTCAGGGTGGTCAAAAAGGAAGGGTCTTCAGTATTCATGAGATTGAAGTTGATATTCAAGCTTTGAGTGTCTCCAATTATGATCTTAGTTACACTGCAATGTAAATTATTTTAGTTACAAAAAAAAAACATCAAACTATATTTTTACATTTGTAAATAGCTGTGGCTGGGGCCCTCAGGGCCCCCTTTTAAAAGTGAATTTAATTCATGTCATCAGTACATACCTAATTTGTGAATCAGATAATGTAATACTTGGTTTACAATCTTTAACTTTGCAGTCATTTTCAAAGGAAATCTAAAAATAACAAAAAATGTATGATCATTTTAAATGTTATTACATATTAAAACATACATTTAAAGTCTTTTAATGAAAAATTGCCTAATATGGATGATGGATAAGACATTTTTTAAATCAAATAATACTTGGTATTCATTAAACTGATCAAAAATGGCAGTAAAAACATTTATATTGTATACAAAAGATTTATATTTCGAATACATGCTGTTCTTTCTAACTTTCTATTCATCAAAGAATCCTTAAAAAAGTTATCACAGTTTCCACAAAAATATTAATCAGCAAGTATTTTCAACATTGCTAATAATAATAATTTCCTGAGCAGCAAATCAGCATATTAGAATGATTTTTGAAGGATCATGTGACACTGAAGACTGGAGTAATAAGCTAATAAGCTTTTAGTAGCTTCTTTGGGGTTCCCTTTCACACGACCTATATATGACCACTGTTTCTTCTGAAATTGTGTGTAAATGACATAATGATGACGTGTGAAATAAACGAAACGAAACGAGAAATGATGCTGAAAATTCAGCTTTGCCGTCAGGAAGAAATTACATTTTAAAAAACAGCTATTTTAAATTGTTACAATATTTCACAATATTACTGTTTACTGTATTTATGATTAAATAAATGCGAGAAACCTCTTTCTAAAATACAAAAACTTACCAACCCTAAACTTTTGAATGGTAGTGTAACAATGAGTGAAAGATGACTATGTGCACAATTGCTTGTGAAATTGTTATATTATGAATATTCTGAAAAATGTTTACCTCATCTACAATCTCAGTTGGAGTAAATATGTCAAGAATTCGGATAGGGGTTGGGTTGGGGGCCAATGAAAAACTCAGCTTGATTTTAATAGGTGAAAAACAATCAAAACATCCCTGAAAAGAAGACAATCAGTCAATATCACAAAGAAATGATCATAGCTCTCAAATAATTTTTGCAATAAATAATTTCTATTTTTTAATTTCTAAATAATTGCTATTCAATGAATACTGACAACTTCTCTGACAAGTTGCGTAGAAAAAAAAAAAGAACCAAACAAAGAAGCAACGTACCAAATATTGTAGGTTGATACGGGTGCACTCTGCTTCTGCCGTCAAAATAAAAGTGTTTTTTAATTGATCGCTGTTGTCAACAGTGATACGCTTTTTGTTTACATCAGAATCCAAGTCAATTTGGTACTGAAGAGGGAGTGTTTCAGCTAAAATGACAGAAAGTTAAATTGTGGTTATAAAATAACCATGAGGATTGTTTTGGATCAAGAATATTCTCACTGAAATGAAACAGAACACTTACATTGAAGTTTTCCCTTTATCACATTAAAACATACTCCTAAAAGTATGCTAAACTTGCTGGATAATTCATTCATTTGTTGAGTCAGAGGAATTTTCTTGTGTGAAATCGTTATAGCTGGTTTGATAACCACAACAGGGATACTCCTGCAAAAAATGTTTACACAAACATGAAACAACATCCAAAGAGAAGCTTCCCCTATCCTACAATGAAACAGAATGTATGCTGAAATATAATTTAAAAAATGTAACAAAATCGAACAAAATGTTCTTTACTCACTCAAAAACAGTCACTCTCCCTTGACTTCCAACAGCGATGCAAGGCTTATTTGGTGCCGTGGCAGGAGCGCCACTTACTGACTGACCAAAGTGCACAAGTTTCATTCCAAAATTTGAGGGTGAAATTTTCTATAGGGAGGAAACAGCTAATTATATTTAAAAACCTTTCAAGTCACATTGAGATGGAAAGTCAAACTTTAAATCAACCATCTTAGGTCTATTATTTAAAAAATGGTCAAATTCATTTTTAGAATAAAATAGAATATATACAGGGCAGTGGCGTAGGTTTGATTTTGAAATTGGTGGGGACGGGGACAACAATGTTTAAATATATTTTAAATTTTGATCGAAATTATTGCTAGGGATATATCAGTGTCACTGGATATTGGTAGGGACACGTCCCTAGCGTCCCTACTAAATTCTACGCCCCTGATACAGGGAGCTATATTTTGTGAAGAAGCAGGCTTATAATTGTTCATAACATTTAATAATTTTAGGGTAAATGATAATGAAGCAAAAAATGCAAAATCATGTGTATTACATATTTAAAAAAAATCACTGGTTTATTATGCTGTTGATGCATAATAAATGCATAATGATCTTCTCCAGTGTCTATTTGAAGTGATTCCAACTGAAATCAGTCTTTTCTTAAGAATTTCTGGATATTATAATGGGATATTAATCGTTTTACTTTTTGTATTATTTATTATTTCATTTTATGAATTTGACATTAATAAAAATCTCTTTAAATAATTAATATAAAATATTGTTCTAATAATTATCTCCACCATGTCTATATGATCATTAGGGGGAAAACGTGACAATATCTGGACAGAAATTGTCTGGATATTGTCCAAGATTGATTAAAAAGCTCAAGTGTAAAGAAAATATGCCGGTACCCACTTGTGAAAACTGAAGGCCATCTTTGAATCCATTGTAAATGTAAATGCTTCCCGAGGAATCTGTTTCCAGAGGAGCGCCCACTGCTACATCATTGAATTTGTTCCCATCAATATCTCCTATAGAGCCGATGGCTGCACCAAACCTTGCAAAGTCCTGTCCCGCATCACCCTGCAGCTCCATTGTCACGCTCTCAAACCGGTCCTGCTTTAGGATGATTTAAAAATAAACAAATTAGATACAAATCATGTTATACTATGGCCCACACGTTCATGAGCTGAAAGGAGAGTATGATCTTACCTCATTCAATCTGTACACTAGCACTTTGCCTTCTTCCCCATTTTTATAGAAATGTGGTGCTCCAACTAATAGATGATCGGTGTATTGATCCCCATCAATGTCCAAGGCACAAAGAACTGATCCAAAGTAAGATCCAACCTATGGCAATTATACTTCACTTAATTATTATCATATTAGCAAATGGTTAAGTGTAATCAGAAAAAAAAATACTTATGCATTTATTATGAACTCATAATATGTAAACCAATTAAAGATTACTCAATTCAACAATTGAAATGTGTACATCTTAAAAACGGACTAATATATGGTGGTGGTCAATTTTTTAATGTTTTAAAAGAAGTCTCTTCTGCTCACCAAGGCGTCATTTATTTGATCCAAAATTCAGCAAAAACAGTAATATTGTGACATATTTTTACAAATTAAAATAATTGTTTCTATTTGTATTTATTTAAAAAATGCAATTTATTTCTGTGTTGGTAAAGCTGAATTGTTGATGTTTTGATTGTTTTTCACCTATTAAAATCAAGCTGAGTTTTTCATTGGCCCTCAACCCAACCCCTATCCGAATTCTTGACATATTTACTCCAACTGAGGTTGTAGATAAGGTAAACATTTTAATATAAAAATTTCAAGCAATTGTGAACTTCACACAAGGATCATGTGACAATGAAGACTGGACTAATGATGCTGAAAATTCAGCTTTGATCACAGGAATGAATTACATTTTTTAAAACATTCAATTAGAAAACGGTTAAAATTAGTACAAATATTTCACAATATTACTGTTTTGCTGTATTTTGGATCAAATAAATGAAGCCTTGGTGAGCAGAAGAGACTTCTTTTAAAACATTAAAAAATCTTACTGTTCTGATAATGTTATCCACCACTACGTATATATATTATATATATATATATTTTTTTTTTTTGAGTGACTAGAATTTTTCACCTTTCAAAACTGAAAACAAACAGTCTGGTGTGTTAATATCAATAGTATTAACCTACAAATACCTGATCTCCCTGGAGCACATAGTTTTCGGAGCCGTTAAAAATAAATACCCCACCAGTCAGATTATACCGTGGTGCACCAGATATGTAGAGAGTTTTATCGGATAAATGAGCAGAAGTGACGCTATAACCTGTGATCAGGAAGGAAATACAACAAATATGAAACAGAGATGCCTTTCATTTATCCAGGTGTATGTAGGATTGAAAATAATCCAAGACATTTGAAATTAACAAAGACATATGCTTTACTGTGTTCCACCCCTTCTTTTAACCACAAGGACCATTTGGAGTTCCCAAAGACACAGAGGGGCTGATAGTGATCAAGGCCTGTAGGCCAAGATTTGTGTACTTTGGGGGTCTATGAATTGTCACACCTTTAGAACAATGGGGGAAGTGTAATTATCTGATTGGTCAGTTTGAATGTCTCACATTTGGGTTTTAGTCACATGGTCAGGGAAAGGATAAAACAAGACTGTAACTGTTGCTCTGCCCTTTTTATGCTCCGGCGCTCTCTGGGTCCCTCTTGGGACTCTCTCTCTCTTTACCTCCTCTGCTATTTCTCTCTCTATCTCTCTCTCTCTTTCTATCTATCTCTCAGGTAACATTTTACATACATGCTGGGTACAATTAATTATATACTGTAAGTTAACATCATCTCATACATCTATTTTGTAGGTATTTTAAGTGTAACCATAACCATATTTTGTCATTAAACCTTTTCAATTACAAATAATGTGCTAAATGGTTTTGATTTGGTATTGACTTTGAAGTGCTACCTATTGCAATACAATATTGTCACTCATATAGCAACGCTCTCCCACATATGAAGCTATTGTAACTGCGCTTATTTCCGTCGTTGGTATAAGTGGCAGTGGGTGGAATAGACAAGAAATGTACAGTTTTCTACCATCTTGCTGATAACGTTTCTTTAGTCATTCGGCAGTCTTGCAGCTTGAACCCCTGCAGAAAATCCACCCTTACATGTACAATATATATATATATATATATGCTTGAGAAAATGACTCTGCTGAACAGCAGTTTTTCACTGAAAATATATATACAGGTCCTTCTCAAAAAATTAGCATATTGTGATAAAGTTCATTATTTTCCATAATGTAATGATAAAAATTAAACTTTCATATATTTTAGATTCATTGCACACCAACTGAAATATTTCAGGTCTTTTATTGTTTTAATACTGATGATTTTTGCATACAGCTCATGAAAACCCAAAATTCCTGTCTCAAAAAATTAGCATATCATGAAAAGGGTCTCTAAACGAGCTATTAACCTAATCATCTGAATCAACTAATTAACTCTAAACACCTGCAAAAGATTCCTGAGGCTTTTAAAAACTCCCAGCCTGTTTCATTACTCAAAACCGCAATCATGGGTAAGACTGCCGACCTGACTGCTGTCCAGAAGGCCATCATTGACACCCTCAAGCAAGAGGGTAAGACAGAAAGAAATTTCTGAACAAATAGGCGGTTCCCAGAGTGCTGTATCAAGGCACCTCAGTGGGAAGTCTGTGGGAAGGAAAAAGTGTGGCAAAAAACGCTGCACAACGAGAAGAGGTGACCGGACCCTGAGGAAGATTGTGGAGAAGGATCGATTCCAGACCTTGGGGGACCTGCGGAAGCAGTGGACTGAGTCTGGAGTAGAAACATCCAGAGCCACCGTGCACAGGCGTGTGCAGGAAATGGGCTACAGGTGCCGCATTCCCCAGGTCAAGCCACTTTTGAACCAGAAACAGTGGCAGAAGCGCCTGACCTGGGCTACAGAGAAGCAGCACTGGACTGTTGCTCAAATTTTGCATGTCATTCGGAAATCAAGGTGCCAGAGTCTGGAGGAAGACTGGGGAGAAGGAAATGCCAAAATGCCTGAAGTCCAGTGTCAAGTACCCACAGTCAGTGATGGTCTGGGGTGCCATGTCAGCTGCTGGTGTTGGTGCACTGTGTTTTATCAAGGGCAGGGTCAATGCAGCTAGCTATCTGGAGATTTTGGAGCACTTCATGCTTCCATCTGCTGAAAAGCTTTATGGAGATGAAGATTTCATTTTTCAGCACGACCTGGCACCTGCTCACAGTGCCAAAACCACTGGTAAATGGTTTACTGACCATGGTATTACTGTGCTCAATTGGCCTGCCAGCTCTCCTGAACCCTGAACCCCATAGAGAATCTGTGGGATATTGTGAAGAGAAAATTGAGAGACGCAAGACCCAACACTCTGGATGAGCTTAAGGCCGCTATCGAAGCATCCTGGGCCTCCATAACACCTCAGCAGTGCCACAGGCTTATTGCCTCCATGCCACGCCGCATTGAAGCAGTCATTTCTGCAAAAGGATTCCCGGCCAAGTATTAACTATTGAGTGCATAACTGAACAATTATTTGAAGGTTGACTTTTTTTTTTGTATTAAAAACACTTATTTTATTGGTCAGATGAAATATGCTAATTTTTTGAGACAGGAATTTTGGGTTTTCATGAGCTGTATGCCAAAATCATCAGTATTAAAACAATAAAAGACCAGAAATATTTCAGTTGGTGTGCAATGAATCTAAAATATATGAAAGTTTAATTTGTATCATTACATTATGGAAAATAATGAATACTTATCACAATATGCTAATTTTTTGAGAAGGACCTGTATATTTTAAATCAACTCACTCACCTAAATATGAAAATTTGGGTCCATTATTAGTGTCATTCATAAATTTCTCAGTGCCTTCGGATTTCAAAATGACCCCACCACTCCAGTCATAGGCACCAACTGCTCCAAAAAGAACAGATTTCTATGCAAAAAGCAAAACAAATGAATGTTAATAGTATATCAAACATCCACACAAGTTCTTTGTAGATTAACATGAAGTTCGTGAATAAAAAAAATATCAGAAGCCAAAAATCCTACTTACGTCCTGCACGATATGGGAACTGAATCCAGCCTCTGCGAGCTGCAATTGAAATCCTGCACCTTGCTGAGTGCCTGAGACACAAAGTGGTCAGATATTGCATGGAACTCATTTTACTTGGTAAAACTCACATTAATATTATATTGCATATTCAGTTAAAAAACTGTCAAAGTCAATTTTAGAATATTTGATCTGTTTTTAATCATTCACTCAACTGATTCATTCAAGCACACTGATTCACAAAACACTGTTATAGGCGCAACGCTTGATTCTGGTTTGGCTTAGTTTGGAACAATTTTATTTGGCGGTGCAAAAATAGATACTGGAAATGTTTTGTTTAAAATGTTTTACTCAATTTACTGCTTGTTCACACAAATGTTATATAAAAGTAGCACTCACAGTCAATTTTGTGCTGTTGCACTGAATATCTGCATGGTTCAATTTTACATCAGCTTTTTATTTAGGCTACAGCTGCTCATCCAATTAGATTTTAGCATTCACCAAACTGCCTTTCTCTTTTATATTGCAAAACGTTTGAAACGTTCTTACCTTCAACCCCAATTATACTGTTCTCCAGTTTGGACAGGATGTCATCTAATGCAGCATAATTGGAAACATTGAAGAATTGACCAGGATCTGCTATGTCGGTCATCTCTTTTATTGCGTTAGGTTTAGACAGAATGCCATCACCAACCTAAAGATAAGATGTTATTAAGTGTGTGGGTTTTAAGATTTATTTTTAAAATAAAACATACAAATCATTAACTATATAATAACAAACTCTGTGTAATATAGCTGATATGAGTGTTTTAGTATAGGGCTCAGGCTGGTGAACCTAGAAGTATCTACAGGGACAGATTAAATCTGCAATTGTAATTCCATTTGCATTTTAAACATCTAAAATGGTAGAGAATTAAGCAGTAAACAGGACACTTACTCCTATGGAATAGCGATTGACATCTTTCATTTGTGTCATGTTCAAAACATCATCAAGTTTCATCGTATCTCCCAAAATTTCCCCGTCAGACAAAACAATTATAATTTTTTTGGAGTTATTTTTTGATCCATTTTCAGGGATGAAAATATTTGTACTGTAAACAACCAATGAAAACAGTCAGACCATGACATTAACGCATCACCAACAAAAGTGCTACATGCTAATCAAACACTTACAGTATAAAATGCAGTATAAACAGTATAAAATGTCTAGTATTTCACATCATAAATTGTAAACTCACAGGACATGACGGATGGCCGAGGCAGTAATTGTGATATGTCCAATTTGCTTTATTTCCTTGACCTTTTGCAAGGTACTGGCACCATCCTCATTGTCTAGAAGTGAGAGCTCTGTCCTGATTATATTGCCATATTGCACTATCGCAAAGTCACACTGAGGAGAGAGTTGTTGTTCTTTTTGTTAAGTAAAATACCTTTTAAATTGCATTTTAAAAAATAGATATAAATGTCTTTCATAAAATCCTTTCATTTATACTTGCATTGAAACATGCTTTCCAAACATTGAACATGACATTGTAGATGAAGTCTTTGGCTCTCTCAAAGTCATCATCACTAATGCTACCAGAGCCGTCCAGCACAAAAGCAATGTCTGTCCCAGCATCTAAAAAATATGTTCTGAAATATCAGTATAAAAATAATGGTTTCTTTTAAAACATTATTCTTTGCATCTGTAGTATGACACAATCAGCATGACATAATTAATAAATAATAATACTGATTCATTTAAAAGGCCAAATATAGACTAGTACCCTCCTCATCCTCATCTTCATCTGTTTTTGTGTCACTGTCCGGCTCGGCTTGTCTTCTCGTCCTCTTTTTAACTTGTGGATATTGACAGAAATGTAAATTAGCAATCAGACTCTTTAAATGAGCCACAACAAATTATTTAGTTTTATCTCAGGTGGGCTCACCTTGATCGAAACTTCTACCTCGATTGTTGTTGTTGTTGTTGTTGTTGTTGTTGACTGAGATGAAAGAGATTTAGAAAAATCAGGGGTAGGATTTTGTCTGTTCAAATCTGAAATACCATTATCAAATCATCCATACATACCAAATTCAACAGGATTCAGTTTGACTTTCTCATTGGGATTCATCAGTTGGCAATTTCCATTCAAAACCTCAGTTAAGCTCTTCTTTATGCGAACTTGGTTACACATCTTGGGAGAAAAAAAATACACAACCCTAAATATCTCGATTGTATCTTTCACCGAAGTCATTCCTCTTCGCGTTCGGCTATAATTTCATTCTAACTGAATAAACAGATGTTAATGTCCTGTTAATAAGAATTTGTGGCTACAAATTCTACGAACAGTGAGAGAATCGCTCTGATTGAAACTTGACAAAGAGTGCATTGTTTTATTTTAGAGATGTTTTCACTAGGGAAGTGACGTCACCATATGGTTTTGGGTGAAGTAACAGTTTTGACTCACAATGCTTATGACTTCCTCCTGATAGTCACACAGGCATCATCCTGAACAATTTCCCCAAATGTCCGAATACATTTAAAAAAATACAATTCCCCAGAAATAATTGTGGTATCCCAATATTCCTATTTAACTTGTCACGGACAATTTTTTCACCATACTCTCTAAAAGACTATTTCTAGTCTTTTAGAACCGGCACATTTCTGTCTGTCACGTATGTGAAGGGGAAGCCACACTCTCTGTGGTTTTACTGTAAAAATGTTGTGCGACAGACACAAAACCTTTTGCAAACTTTATCTGATTATGCAGTTTACTTCCCGTTTAGTATAGTTTTCAATAGCTCAATCTTTGGTGAAATCATGTTGAGAATATAAAAACTGTCAAACATATTTGACATCTCTAGAATATAAAAACTGTCAAACATATTTGACATCTCTGTTTTTATACATACCACAATGTGCTCCTCTTCTGATATCAGCCTAGAAGCTACAGATGCTACTGATCTCAGCCCTTTTAGTTTTTCATCTTTAAAAGATACATTGATATAATAAGATTTTTTTTACTGTGAAAGTAATTCTGTAATTCAGTGAGGACATTATTATGAAATTAACAAAGTTAAGTTTACAATTTGAGCTTCTCTATAAAAAGATACAAAAGACAAAGACAAACTTACCGGTCAAATTTGAATTGACGCATTCATCCTTTAGAGTGCAGCTGAAAAGTTTTCCATTTGATGGGGAAGGAACAAAAACTCTAGAACAGGACAAATTAAAACACTTTTACTAAAATAGATGACCTATAAGGTCATTATAAAGAACATTTATTTATCTTTTTCAGTAAAACGACATAATTATTTTAAAAAAAATGTCATAAATTACTAACCCATCATTTGATTGAATAACAGTTTGCCCAAAGAGTGGATCATCTTTTATAAAATGCTTCACTGGAGATTTCTGAATATTGAACCCGGTCACACTGCATATGACTGTAACATTTAAAATAATGAGTAAAAAATGAAATGATTCAGACAGCAGATTTTTACACAGTAATAAGATTATGTTTTTATAATATAGTTTCTACTTTTGCCCAGACATTTTCAGATTCAAACAAATAAGTGTTTAAAACATGCCCAAACACAAATAAATGTTTTAAATAATGAATTGTAAACACTGATTATCAACACTGTACATAAATACATACCAATCAAAAAAAGCAGTCCTTTGTACATTTTGTGAATTAGATCAAATCCACTCTTTAAAAAAAACATATCGGCACACTGAGACAGAAAGCAGCTCGTTGTGGTGTTGAAAGTAGCCTAAAACAGCACAGATGCCTCTGCTGACTGTTAAACCCTCCCCCTTAACACACTTCAGACACAGCACATTTACAGCACACATGTGTTTTCTGGGGAAGTGTATCCATTGAGTCCTTTATTAATTGCCATTCCTCGTATGTAGTTTATAGGTTAGAGTGTGATTGCGAATATTTCTATACAGTAAAACGAAAAGGAAATTGCGTTTAAAGTGGCTGAACACAAATATGCTATTCGTACGAAAAACATGTTGTATACTATGGTGAGGAATCATTTGAGTTCCGTTAAAGTTGTAAGACTGGAAAAACTGGAAGAAATGAAAGAGATGGCAACTCTCTGAGAAAACAAAGGAGATTAACATCTGAACTCTCTTGCTATATATTAACATCCCCATTCGATCGCACTTGAGTTGATCACCTCCCAATTTACAATTCTCTCTCTTCCCCCTCTCGCCTCTCTCTCTCTCATGCTCAGATCACCTGAAATACACCCAAAAATCTATGTGGTTAAAACTTTATTGTGAACAATTTTATACATGTTTGGTATCATGTTTAGGTTTCTGCCTTGGTCTGAGTATTTAGGGAGATGCTGAAAATGGTGCAGGGTACGATTTATAGTTTAAATCAGCCAGTGATGCTGAATGTCCTCAAGACACTCAGCATTATGCATTTTTCTTATGTCAGGTTCCTTACACACCTTTTCTCTTTATCTCTGAGCATTAGATGTTATTGTATTGATTATCTTTGAATTGATTATGTAATTGGCATGATACATTTACCTGACTAATAAGTGGGGGTGTAGCTGCTCTATTTAAAGATATCAATGTAAGCAAGTAAAATTTGGGAATTACCCGTCTTTCGAATATCTGGGTATTGTGTTAAAAGGTGCCCCACGCATTTTACTTATTATTTACAGGCCTCCAAAATACTCTCCAGCCTTTGCTAAGGACTTCACAGAACTGTTATCAATGAATACAAACTGTTTGAAAGTTTTGCTATTGCTGGGGATTTTTATATTCACATAGATAATTCAGAAACCAATATGCCAAAAGAAATCATAACTGTTTTAAATACTTTTAATCTGACTCAACATGTACACGGACCCCCACACAATCGTGGGCATAGATTTACTTATCAGTAAGGGTCTAAACATTTCATCGATTGTTATTAAGGATAGCACTGTCTGATCATTTGTGTTTTTTCTTTGACATATTGATCTCTCCTACTATTCAAGCTAGATCTGTGTCTGTCAAGAAGAGATGCTTAAATGAGAACACTATGTGCTATTTATGAAGGCCATATCTTTAACACCAAGCATATCTGCAGACTCTGTTGATTCTCTCCTTAAGTCCTTTAACTCAAAAGTACAGAGTGTAATAGATGATATTGCTCCTGTGAAAGTCAGGAAGAAGAGTGGCAGACAAAAAGCACCTTGGAGAAACTCAACAGCAGTGCAAAATATGAAAAGACAATGCAGAAAAGCTGATCCCATGTGGCGGAAGACAAAACGTGTAGGCCATTATAACATCTAAAAAGACAGCCTCCATGCTTTCAATGTGGAACTGCAAAGCTAGACAGACTTTCTTCTCAAATATTATAAACAGAAAAATAAACAACACAAGCACTCCCAAGCCAGATTCCCAGTGAAATGCTCTCAGATAGCAAGTGCAGTGAGTTTGCTTCCTTTTTCTCTGAGAAAATCAATAAGAAAGGCGATCAGCATATCCTTCTTTTTATAACTGTATCCACTGTACGTCCGACTGACTGCACTGTATTCTTCCTTTTGATTCTAAGCGATTTTTAAACATCTAAATGATTTTTAACTCAAATGGCACCAAGAATTGTGTAAGAGAGAAACATAAACCACTTAATTGGGGAAATTAAAAGATGAAACAATGCTGAAGACCTGGGTCTGTGGTGGAGTAGTGAGTTTGATGTGTCAATTTAACTCGAGGTTCTGTGGGGTGCGGACTGGATCGACTCCATTCCTAGAGCTTCCGAACAAATGATTTTTTTTGGGTGGGGGAGGGAGGGCGGGGGTGCGGACTGATGGGGCAGTGAACCCGAGGTCAGTCCTAGAGCTCCTCCCGTCCGATTTTAGGGAAAAATCGGGTCCATCGGCGACGTCCAATGGAATTCTTAGGCGTGCCAAAAACTATATGCAAAATAAGATTTTATTCTATGTATCATCTTTTTACTTTAATTCATTTTATAACTGTATCATTTATCTCTTTTAATTCCTTTTATAACTGTTTTAATTTTCCTTGCTTTTATGGGTTATTTTCTATGCAAAGCACTTTGAATTGCCATAGTGTGATATTTGAATTCCTTTAAATGTCTGAATAACTATTTTAATTTTCCTTGATTTTATTTTGTGATTATTTTTATTCCTTTATGTAAAGCACTTTGAATTGCCATAGTGTATGAAATGTGCCATAAATAAACTTGCCTTGCCTTGCCTCAAGGACACAAAAATGTTGCTCGACCAACCTAAATAGGGTGAGTCTTATACCTCTGTTTAATGTAATGTTACTCTAGTTAAGTGTACGTGGGAAACCATGGCATGACCAAACCAAAGCTATCAGAGAAGTAATATTGGTCGGCTTATATCTGTAGAAGTGGCCATGACCTCTGTCTAAAGTAAACGTTACTTTAATTCAAGTGTATAGCCTACTTACCACTGGGGGCTTTACAAAGATATCTCTGATTGAGTAATGCGACTGTCTAAGATATTAGCCAATTACCTAGTGACTGAAACTGACGAGTTCAAAAGCGACATAGATTATAAAAATATAAAGTAAAGAATTGAATAGAACAATCAAATGTGTCGCTAAACTATTATATAAATGACCAATGGGTATTCTAACCTAAATTCAAGGTCTTGATAAAATGGAGTCAGATCAAAGTTTAATTGGAATTAAATTACTTTGCCACGCTGAAAAGACAGTAACACGCCGTAAGCCTTCACCTGCTTATCGGAAACTGTCATTGGACCAATTGCGCAGACTTTTTGGATTCATACACTTAAAGCAACTAAATACAACTGATTTCTTATCTTTTTTTTGTAATGATTTTATATTGTGTTGATGTATATGTTTATATTCAAAATGTGCACATATGTGTAGTTTTATGGACCTTTTATTTTAGAAATCTTTTTAAAGTGAGTGAGATGCCCTTTAATTATCACTGGCATACTATAGGTAGGTACTCACTAGTTTTGCCAGAGGACATGTATAGAACAATCTGAGACGATCACACGCTGACTTTGTTACAGGATGTGGTGAATATGGAAACCAGCAACTCTAACTGTGACAGTAAACTAGTCTACCCTCAGCCCTCAGTTTTTTATTTGACCTCAATATATATATATATATATATATATACTTTTTTTTAAAATTAAAGCTGCAGTCCGTAACTTTTTTGAGTTAAAAATTATCCAATTATCCAAAATAAATTTTTGAGCAAGTACATAACCAGCCAGTGTTCAAAACTCTCTGCTTGCCGTAGCTCGATTCAAAACGGTAAGCGTGTAATAATGTTTTTAATTCCAGTGGTACTGGTGGATTTCCGCGGGAAATTCGAGCATGTCTTGTGTGTCATTACGTCACATCTGTACACACAAAGAAGGAGTCTCGGCTAGTATTGCTATATTGCGTGTGAGGATGCTGGAGGTGGAGATTTATAGCCTTTTCTCACTGCACTTGATAAAATTAAACTTATCAATTTGATGGCGGATCCAGAAAGGTTCAAACGACAATCACCTCGTACGAATTTTACGAGGTGGCTAATTCATACTAATTCATACGACCTCACTCGTACAAATTCGTACGATTTTTGCTAATTCGTACATATTTTACGAGTTACCAAATTCGTATGAATTCGTACGAATGACCTACCCCTGACCCCGCCCCTAAACCTACACTGTAAAAAATGATCGTGATTTTAACGGTAAAACACTGTAAAAATGCTACAGTGAAAAACTGTTAATTGGTTAACAGAAAGTTTCCTTATTATATACGGTAAATAACTGTGATATATATAATGGTACATTTAATTTAATTTTACTGTAAAATACCGTTAAATTTACAGTTTTTGGAAGTGAAAAAGAACAAGTCATTGTATAATTTACAGTGAAAAAATGTAAATTGACATTCCCACAATTCCCTGCGTAACACTTCACATTTGATATATTTTGTTTTTAAATCACTGTTTCTTCATAATTTTCTCAGTTTTTTTTCTAATCAGTTATGTACATTAGGGTTTTATGTTACATTTAATGTTGTTAAATTAATGCTTATTACATTTTTTAAATTTCAACATGTTACCATGATGGTGTTTAATGTTTGTGTGAATGACACTGTGCAGCTTCTGTATAAAAGTATTAACTCTCTTGTGGATGAGCTGCTTATGATGAGCTTTGGTTGACCATTTGACTCTCATCACTGCTGTGATTGTTGGCTGTCAGTGTATTACAATGGAAAAAAACAGATATTAATACTTCAAAAGGTCAGTATATTAACATTATATCAGATAATGAAATACGGTTTATCGCTGTAAAATTATATACGGTTAAAAGTTGCAAAACCTAAAACGTTGCTACCGTATTTTTAACAGGAAAACTCTGGTAACCACAGCTGCCAGGGTTTTCCTGTAAACTTAACAGTTTTTTTTTTTTTACAGTGTACCCATCACGTGGGTTTAGACAAATCGTACAAATTCGTACGAGTGAGGTCGTATGAATTAGTACGAATTAGCCACCTTTTAATCACTCGTACGAACTTGTACGAATTGGTCGTGAGATAGCGTTGCAACTAGAGATTCACCGTTGTAAAATGCAAAAGACTTCAGACTGAGAGTTTGGAAAAAGAGACTGCAAGTGGCCCATGCGAAAAAAAGGATAAATATGTTTATTAGTTATTATTGGTATAATAACTTTGTTATTACAGTATTTAAATGGCTAGTATTTCTGATACTATCTGGGTTCCCTGGATTTGCAAAATGGTGCGCACGCTTTATAAATCGAGGAAACTAATTAGTAAATCGTTCACATGATGGAACGAATGAGTAAATAGTACGAACGATTTACTCATTTTTCTTGGATGTCATGTGCGGGGCTCCGTAATCAATAATTTTGTGCTGTTCACACTTGTTTTACAACCAGAAAAATGGTTATACCAATAATAACAAATAAACATACTTCTTTTGCAGCTGGGCTGAGACATCACACCTAGATTGGTCACATATAGTGTGAAAAGCACAAGCAGTGTGTGTGTGTGTGTGTGTGTGTGTGTGTGTGTGTGTGCTTATACCGGAAATATCAAGTGACTAAGGTTCTTTGAATCAGGCTTCCATTAGTGCTTGGTGACTTCCAAAGACATCTTGCTTGACAAATATGGCATACATTTCACAGCTTTGGATATTTTTTACTGCTCTGGTGTCTTCAAATGGTAAGTTATAGATAAAACTATTTCTTCAATCTCCATATCTATAGCTTTACCTGTGAGAGATGAAAAGTTTGATCAGTCACAGTTTGATGCTCTTCCACTGTTCAGGTCTGGACTGCTGGAACACAGGATGGACAGAGGTCACCATCAGCGCCTCTCTGAAATCTGAAGTCTTTCTCCCATGTCACTTTAATAGAAGCCTTGACACTAAAACAGACACTGTGAAATGGACCCACAATTCCAGTGGAGCTACTCTTCTAAGGATCATGAGTAATGGCAGTATCTACTTTGGTAGGACAGAAGGACGAGTGAGTGTTTTTCCCCTTCTGTTCAAAGAAGGAAACTTCACCATCCTCATCCATGATCTGGAGCCTTCAGATATCGGCCCGTACTTTTGTGAGGGGAGCGGTGAACGCTGGAGAGTGGAAATCCTAGAATCAGAGCCTCCAGTTGAGAGTAAGTTCAGTCCCTGCATGGGAAAGTCTTTCAAATTCATTTAGAGGAATCACAAAATGGTGTGAGGATAACAATTTATTCAAGATAAATATTATAATTATTATGAAATGGATCATTTTACATTTATATAACATAACATTTCTATTTGTGGCACAGAAACTGTGGAGTTGAACTCTTATCATAACTCCTGGGTTTTTTTTTTTGCTGGAGCTGGACTTGTCACTCTTCATTTTATTGTATTTAATCTCACTGGTGAGCATTATACTTTTCATTCATTATCCAAAGTAAAAATTCAATGAATTAGTATTTACTTAGAGAATTGATGAACTGACTCCAATTTATTTGTTTGTAAAACAATATTCAGGCCTAAATAACCGTTGTATGAAATGTATGAGATCATCCAAATCTTGCTCTATTAATGAAGAACACGATGAAGGTAAGTTCAGTAAAAATTATTTGAATGAGATTTTAAGATCTTGGTTTGTTTGTTTTTCTGAAGAACGGATTGATAGATTTATTAATGGCACTTATGCCAGTTGATACTGTATGTTTATACAAAATATGATAAAAGATTACCAAAGAAATTCGTATTTAATTTACATTAAATTACAGTTTCCAAGTACGTTTTCAATTGCTGCTAATGTGGTTTGAAAAAAGCTGATAATGCAATGTGAAATTCCTGTTGATAGCCTATATCAATGTTGTATATATAATGATGTCATACTCTTTTGTTTTTCAAGAACATGATTCTTCAAGTCAAAATCCAACAGAGTATTGATGGGCTATAATTAAATAGTGTGGTGCAGGTATGACATCACTTTGTAGGCCAAAATGCCGAAGCGAATTAGCATTTTAGCACTTCCGGTTCCATCTTCCCGAAGTCGATGTTTTTTTTAAATGGGGTTTTGGTTAAATGGTTGAAATAAGGTCTGTGGTGAACACAAGCTCAAGACACTTTCACGTTTTATTCTACGACATAAAATACATCAGTATTACCCCACTAGTGATTTTTTTTTAAGCTGGTACGTCACGTGTCTTGAAAAAGGCGGTAGCTAAAAAGTGGCTAAATGGGACTAGAGGCTGTCAAGGAGATTAAACGTCATCACGCCGAAAAGTTAAGCTCAGTCTGCATTTACAGCATCGTTATGGTTGTAATTGTGCTCTTACAAACTATCCTAACTCAAACGTTCAGGGAAATTTTTTTTAGATAAAAATGGAAAGAGTTGTCGGAAGCTTAGTGATGGTGACATTGAATTTGTGGGACCGTGGTGTAGTTCGTTTATAGCCTACCTTTAGCTTTTCACTTCTGGCGACTGCATTTAGGGTTCAAAATTCATAAAAGTTGTGTCCATCTGTGATAATTATCTTGATGGACAAAACGGGCAAGTATCATAAACTTTTGTTGATCACTGAGCTTGTTTTTAGCGATAATCCAAAAGCCTATGGGAAAATCCTATTTGGTTTTTGTCGAGAGAACCAGTGTGATGCTAACTGCCCGTTGGCCTAGAAAGTGACGTCATACCTGCACCACACTATTGAGCTGAATTATGCTAATTAAGCAAGCTAAAATGTATATATATTTTTTTATCAGCATTCAGAACTCCAGATCCAAAGGACTCTACCATAACAACAGTATATGGTAATATATAATGTCTGTTGGGAAAACTGTTTCTATCAGCAGAGAATAACCTATAAGATTGTTTCAGTCAATGAACCAGGCATAAAACTGCAAAGTCATGATGTCATGTTGAAATGCTGGCAACACTGGGAAATAAAAACATGATTCCCTATTATAGATTATCAATCATGTAAATTGATGTGCAAATGAACTTTTCTTTTGTGCAAGTGCAGTGCACAAATCATTTAAATGCAAACAAACAAGAACACTGTTCGGGTGTACGATATTTAGCCTGTATATTAAATGTGTCAACTTCTCTATATTTTAGTAATCTTTGTCAACAATTTCTGAAAAAGGTTGTTTATTCTTAGGTTATTTTAAACTCTAGTCGGGGGAAGCTGTGAAAAAAATGTGTAGGTGAGGTGTTAGGTTTAGTTTGGTTGCCTTTTTGTTCCAACATGTTTGTCTATTGTGTTTGCAGTTCAGTTTAGTATTGATTAATCTCTAGTTAGTTCCCTTAGTTACTAGTTACATTCACCTGTTGGTCTCCACTCATTATTCCTTATTGTATTCCTTAGTATTTAAACCCTTATTGTTTCCTCTGTTCATTGTGTGTCATCTGAGTTTTACGTTTTATGCTATTTCTTTTGAGTATTCTTGTTGGGGATCATTGGATTAAAGACTGTTTTTGTCATATTGTCTGTAGTGATACTGTAGTGAAGCATGACAGTAAGCTAAATTTACGTTTAATATACGCAGGGCTGGATTTTTTTTCTGACCTTTCAGGTGTATTTAAATATAAAATATTCTATAAACTATAATTACATTAAACATATTTCATGTTTCCTTCAAACATTTTTTTTTCTTGATCAAGATTTATGAATTTTGTGTTGCACAAACTCTTCATTCAACAGAATCTCTGCTTGTAATTACCTGTGTAATCTGCATATGTGGTGCATGCAGAATGTAACAGGTCAAACAATACTTTTAAAAACATTTGTCAGTTTTGTGAGTTTTGTTTTCGAAGGGAATATTCCCCACGAGCAACGTCAATGCTTTCATCTTTGCGCGAATCATTTCTCACCAGACTGCTTTATAAACGAGGATCAGTTTAAAGCTGTTTTTTTTTTCAAAACGCCCCACAGAACAGAGGGCCGGAGTGAGCAAAGCTCATTATCATTTAAAGGCATATGCACTGAAACGGCGTGCTGAAAACAGCTGTTCCCTATCGGTCAGTCACTGCAACGTAGGTCAGACTGACCAATAGGAATCTTGCTAGAGAGGCCAATCCACTTTGAGTGAAACTAAAACAAGCCAATGCACATTGGCATGCAATCATTTGCATCAGCTGCGCGTCCTCGTCAGCACGGGTTTTTAACAGCATCTGTTATGATTGGACACTAGCTTTTTGCTTCGGAGCCAAACGCTTCATGGTAATTCTACAGAGTGTGAAAACTTGGCAAGCCTTCGTTGGATCTCTCCTTATCTGGTGCGGGCGTTACAGCACGGCAGCGCGAGCAGTCTTTTTTTTTTTTTTTTGAGCAAATTCAAAAAAGCTGTTTTAACAGCTGGTAAGGTGCGCAGTTCAGCGCTCAAAGGCTGTTCTCACAGCCAGTAAGACCTGCCAGTGAGAGAGAGAGACAGCGCACAGACGGGTGCACATTCCCGTCTGTGTTCGCAGTGACTGTTCCCCTGCGTGCTTCAGCACCAGTGAGAGTAGTCCCTAAAAGAGCTTACACAGATAGAGAGCGTCTTTTTAAAGATGTCTTTCTATCTGTGTGTTTCTGGATGCGGTCGTTACCTGGGCTCACAGGATGGTCACAAGCGCTGCCTCGTGTGTCTGGGCATTAAACACGCTGAGGCAGCGTTTGTGGATGAGTCATGTACCCATTGTGGGAAGATGACCATCGCGGAGCTACGGTCGAGACTCTTGTTCCTGCAAAGGGGCTGAGTCCCCGTGCCTCTGCCTCGATCCAATCCTCCTCAGAGGGTTGCTTCGGGCGGTGGCTCGGGTGACCTGAGGATCACGGTGAGCGCGTCTCCTTCGGGGAACCAACCCCCTAGGAGCCCTCACCCCTCTCATGCTCCGCAGCCAGTTGAGCCTCCATTGGAGAGAGCTGGACCATCCTCGAGGTGTGTACCGGTTGTCTCCTTTGGGGCTCCCAGTGAAGACCAGATGTCGATCGCTGCATCGGAGGGTGGGTCAGACCTCTCTGCGGACGACGACTCGGCACTGCTGCCTCCTTCGGGGGTGCCAGCGGTGCCTGAGACGGACCCGGAGATGATGGCTATGCTTTCCCGGGCCGCCAACGGGGTCGGGCTCGTGTGGAATCCTCCACCGTGTCCCGAACCCTCGAGGTTGGACGATTGGTATCTCGGGGTGGCGCGCGCTGGTTCTCAGCAACCCACCCCAGTGCCTTTCTTCCCGGAAGTGCATGAGGAGCTTACGGGAATGTGGAAGGCACCTTTTACTGCCAGAAACCGTTCCGGTGGCTCCTCCTCCCTCACCACCCTTGATGGCGGGGCAGCTAAGGGATACACGCGCATCCCGCCAGTGGAACGGGCCGTTGCTATGCAGCTGTGCCCTAACTCCACTCGGCGCGGAGAACCGTGTCTTCCTTCCCGGGCCTGTAGGTACTCGTCGGACCTATTCGACGAGGCTTACAAGGCCTGTGGGGAAGCTGCCTCTGCCATCCACGCCATGGCGTTGCTGCAGGTCCATCAGGCCAAGGCACTGAAGGACCTGCACGAGGGTGGTCATGATCCACAAGTTCTCCAGGAACTTCGTGCCGCAACGGACCTCGCGCTTAATGCGACGAAGGTCACCGCGCGGTCAGTGGGTCGTGCGATGTCCACCTTGGTGGTCCAGGAGCGCCATCTCTGGCTGTGTCTGGCAGACATGAGGGAGGCTGAGAAGCTCCGGTTCCTCAACTCCCCCGTGTCCCAGACCGGCCTCTTCGGCGACGCGGTCGAGAACTTCGCCCAGCAGTTCTCGGCTGTACAAAAGCAGACTGAGCCCATCAAGCATATCCTGCCGCGGCGGTCAGCTGCTGCCTCCAACCCACCGCCTGCGGCTCCTCAGTCTGCTCGTCGCCGGGGGCGTCCTCCTGCGTCTGCCCCTGCTCCCGCGCTGCAGCAGCAGCCTCCACCTAAACGGCGCCGTGGAGCCAGTCGCAGGCAGGCCGCCCCGCCCGTCCAGGCCCCCGCCAAGAAGGGTGGCAAAGCCAGAGGTAAGCGGCCCCAGGACGGGCGACCCAGAGATGGAGGGGACTGCTCTCCAGGAGACGATGACCGCATCGCTCCCTCCCCCGGAAGAGGGCCGGGTGGAAAATCCTTTGTTTCGTTTTGTTTATGTTCCGCCGCTGGCCTTAAAACCAGCGGT